AAAGACGAAAAGGAATTTAGAAATCTTCTCCTTTCAACATCCGAAATATATACAATTGATCAAATTTGGCCTCTTGACTGTCTATGATGCTGACGAAGAGGAAGAAAATAACAATTCGAGGACGATCTTGTTGGAATTGGAAAGAATTGGAGGAAGATACGGAAGTTGGTTTGTAGGAAATAATGTAATTTCAGATGGTAGGCCATATGTCTTTTCTCCTATGGATGTTACCTTCTTGTTAATTGGAATTTTGGAGGAAAAGGTAGACAAGTCGGATGAATCACACTTTGATAATATGAATGATATAATTCCTTCAATAATTTTGCGAGTATCTGCTGTTAGAGACATGATTACCAATGTTTGTGATATTATGGAAGGTTTGTTTCTTTGAATCAATTTATTAAATTTTCCAAGTTGGTGACGATTTATTTGTAAGATTGAGTGAGGAGAAAGTACTTGCTTGGATGATTGCCAAATCTAATGCTATTGTGGAACAAATAACTGAGAATGATAAATTGAGAAATGTAATTGTTTCTCCTCAAGGATTCAAGAGAACTCTTAAAAGCAAGGATGCATCTGATGATAAAAAGATTAGAATGGAATCAATTCGATTCCTCTCTGAATATCTAGATAGAAAATGGGTTGAGAAATTGGCCACTCACTTTGAGTAAGTTTTCATGTGGATTGGAATTATATTTAACATTGTAGAGTTATTGAAGAAGTATATCCAAGTAAAGGTGCTCTCTCTTCTACAACCTTTGCTAAATCACCAAAAGCACCTACAAATACAGCAGCTCTTGATTTCCTAGATGACTTGGAGGCTGTTGAAAAGAAGAGAAAGAGAAAAGAAGATGAGGAAAAGAGTAAGAAATCCAAAACACTGGATTCCAGAAGTGTAGCCAGTTTGAAGAAGGTCAATACCAAAGGTATGAAATCTTTGGATTCTTTTTTCAAAAAGAAATAAATTATTGATTCTCCTTCTTTTAACAATTTATTGAAGACCTTATTATTGAAAATCAATTCATAGTCACCATGGAAGAATCAGAAGTAAACGTAATGTAATGAGAAGAAAGTGGTTGCTGAAATTCACTTGATTGAACTATAAATTATTGAAGATAATATTTAACATAGTTTACCTATTTACTCGTTGTGTTGATCTATTCAATTAACTGCTAATCTGAAAGTTCAATAATTCAATTCTCTCTTCTCAAGGTTTCATTTTCCATTGATAAACAAACATTTTTGATTCATAATCATCCCAACCAATTATTTGATACTATTAATCTTGTCCTGAATATTACCCAAATCATGAACAGCATTCAGCATGACAACTCTATTAGATTTAAACATTGAAGCCTTTGTGGCATTCCATTCAGGTCCATACTGATGAGCATGAGATTTAATGTATCGTTGCATTTCATCCCTTTCCGCAAAATTATGATTCAATAAAAGTCTTTCATATTGTTGTTTCATTGAGAGAATTTGTTCTTCCTTGTACATTTCAATTCTTGTCATGTGACTGAAAAAAGAGTAGGAAAGATAAAAGTATGAAACGGAAATAAATCCATACCACAGAATAGTATGGATTTGTATTGGACTTTTACGAAATTTCAACCATCCGATTTCACTGTGATTATCTACAAAGAGTCTTTTGAAAGTTTCATCATTTCCCGATAATGTTTTTAGCAGGGTATCTCTTATTTTCATTTTTTTTTAATTTAATAATATTTGAATTGTTGATGGTTAAACATGTTTATCATTCATCAATTCGCAACAATCAGAATGTACTAGTGCACTCTCATCAATGAATTCTCCAAAGTTTTCTATTCTTCCCTCACTCCTAACAAAAACTTGTTTTTTAAATTTTTATTTATTTTTTTTCAATGTTGTTTAAAAAATGAAGCAAAGCAAACTCATCAAATGTTGCCAAGGTATTGTCGTGCCAGGCAAAACATCAACCCTCTCACTCTTAACGAATAATACAAATCCTATCACAGAGTCCGTGATAACTAATAATTTACAAAAGAGATACATCAAACAAAGAAAGTTTAAAAATGTTATGGAAAATCCATTTGATATGGTCGAAGAATTTAAACAAAAACAAAAGAATGTTCAATCTTTGATGGATGCTCCAGATTATACTGGTGTTACAGTACACGACAGTCTTGCACAACACAATCTCAAAAAGTATGAGGATGCTAAAGCTAAAGGAATTATTCCTGGTACGTTCCGTTTTTAAATTAATTTTTATTTATCTTTTGATGAATAATTTCCTTACTTTGTTGAACACAATGTTTTTCATCAATTTTAACAACTCGCTACACACTTGGGTTTTTTCATCATCATTCTTCTAATATTTAATAATAATAATAGGTGAGGAATTGTTACAAGAAGAACCACAACATGCCGCTTGGGTTAACTTTATGAAGGCTGCTAAACCAAAAGAAGGAGATTTTGTTATTGGTAAAAGTGTTCGTACAGGTGTCATTGCTCAAAAATTAGGTATGATCCCATTCTGGGATAGCTATCATGCTAGAGTTCCACTTACAGTCTTGCACATTCCAAAATGTCAAGTTGTTCAAGTTAAAACAAAGGAAAAGGATGGCTATACTGCTCTTCAATTGGGTGCTGGATCAATGAGTGCCAAGAAACTTACAAAGCCACTTTTGGGTCATTGTCAAAAGGCAGGTGTTGAACCAAAACATGTTTACACTGAAGCTAAGGTTACTGAAGATGCTATTTTACCAGTCGGATTTGAAATCACTGCTCGTCACTTTATTCCAGGTCAATTCATTGATATTTCTGGTCGTAGTAAGGGTAAGAGATTTGCTGGTCCAATGAAGAGGTGGGGATTTGCTGGTCAACCGGCAACTCACGGTGTTTCAGTCGTCCACAGATCTTTGGGTTCTACAGGTACAATGATTAATAAGGTTTTCAAGGGCAAGAAAATGGCTGGTAGAATGGGTCACGAACAAATCACACAATTGAACTATTATGTTTATATGGTTGACGTTGAAAATAACTGTATCTATGTTAAGGGTTCCGTCCCAGGACCAAACGGTGCTTATTTATATTTGAATGATGCTAGTAGAAAGGATTTACCTTGCATTCCTCCATTCCCATCATTTGTCGTTCCAGAAGGTGAAGATATTTCAACAATGGCTAGAGAACAATTATATTTGGAGGCTCCAGGTATCAAGCCTTACATTTGGGAAGCTATGGGTATTACTAAGGAAGAAGTTGCCAGAGCTGAACGAGAAGAATTACCAAAGGTTCTTACTTCATCTGATGTTGCTTCCATTCAAACTGCTGTTGCTTATGAAAAGGAAATGACAGAAAAGAGAGCTAAGAGAAAGGCCAAGAGAGATTTGTACGAAGATGAAGATGATGACGAATAATTCATTAAAAACGATAAAAAAATATTAAATTTTGGAATATTAAATGTTTAATTAACAAAAATTGTTACAATTTAATTTTGTAAAGTTCATTAAAATATTAAAAAAAATGACCACAACAAGAAGATTCACAGCTGATGACATGCTCAAATTCAACAATGTCAACCTTGATTACTACACTGAAACCTACAACATTCCCTTCTACTTTGAATATTTGGCAACATGGCCAGAATACTTTTACACTGTTGAAACACCACACGACGGAACTGTAATGGGATATGGTATGTTGTTAACAGTGTAATATGTGATCAATTTACATCTCTTATATTCTCTCTACTAATGGAAAACCATCTAAAATTTAATCATCATCACGATTAAATAATTTTCTTGAACAACAATTATTAATCAATGATTAATTATTATTAATCATTATTAATTATTTACTATAATTATTGACTAATAACAATTATTCATATGAACACAACAATGATGATATTAATTATTTGGATGATCATTATGGAAATTAATTTTCGGAATTAAAGTTATGGGAAAAGTGGAAGGTGATAAACCAAGAAAGAAATGGCACGGTCACGTAACAGCCTTAACTGTAGCACCAGAATTTCGTCGTTTGGGATTGGCAAGGAAAATGATGGATTTATTGGAGGAAATTACAGAAAAGATTCACAAAGCCTACTTTGTCGATTTATTTGTTCGTGTTTCCAATAAGATAGCTGTGGGAATGTATGAAAAACTTGGATACACAACCTATAGACGAGTGTTACAGTACTATTCAGGAAAACATGCAGAGGATGGATTTGATATGAGAAAGAGTACTGCACTAGATCCAGAGAAGAAGGCCATGATTCCACTAGGAAGGGACATTCATCCTGAAGAGTTGGATGCTACTCTATAAATATATTTGTTCTGATATTACATCTAGAGTAATTTGGATTTTTTATGAAATCATTTCTAATGTGTGTATGTGTAGGTTGGATTGTTTCATCTCTTTACCATTTATGTAGGTTTGGAGATACTCATTTGAAAAACAAAGATATCTTGTTTATGAATTTCTTCCTAATCTAGATGATATCTTTATCGAGTTCAAAATGAGTTCGATTATTCTTCAAGTTATGAAATAACAAATTAATGACCTATATCTACAGTAATTATGATTCAGTTGATACAACAAAAGTTCTTCAATGTACTTTGCAACCAAGACCGAATCAAAGCACTAAACAGAACATTTCGAACAGAGTTACCTTGTTCAATAGACAGTTGACATTTGACAGCTAATCAACAAGGCATAGCCTACGGTCAAATAATTCAAGGCCATCACATAAAAAAAATTCTCAAAAACAACAATAACAATGGCTGAATACAAGTTTGTCGTCTTAGGTTCAGGAGGTGTCGGTAAATCTGCCCTTACCATCCAATTCATTCAAGGAAACTTTGTTGAAAAGTACGATCCTACCATTGAAGATTCATACAGAAAGCAAATTGAAGTCGATGGAAAGGCTTGTATGTTGGATATTTTGGATACTGCCGGACAAGAAGGTTTGTTTTTCAAAATAGTTTAGTTTCTAATAGTATTATTATTATTTAATTTATTTTGTTATCCATTATCATATTTTTTGGATAATGATGATGATGATGAAACTAACATTATTTGTTAATTTCAACATTCAAAATCGGTTATTTTTACACTTTGATTTTTATTACACCAACAACAACAATAACAATAATTCGAATAATGATATGATGATAATAATATAATAACAATAGAATATTCTGCTATGAGAGATCAATATATGAGAACTGGACAAGCCTTCATTCTTGTCTACTCCATCACCGATCCTTCATCATTCGAAGACTTGTTGACCATTCATGAACAATTGTTGCGTTCAAAGGATGCCGATGAAGTTCCAATTGTTTTGGTTGGTAACAAGTGCGATTTGGAGGAGGAACGTGCCGTTTCAAAGGACGAAGGAAAGTCAATGGCTGAAAAGTTTGGTGACCACTGTAAATTCTTAGAAGCCTCTGCTAAGGAATCTATCAATGTTGAAGAAATTTTCATGAGTTTGGTCAGATTGGTCGACAAGTTTGAAAATGGTGGCGGTGATGATGAAGGTGAAGAAGAAGCTGAAACAAAGAAGGACACTAAGAAGGATACCAAGAAGAAGAAGAAGAAGATTACTCTCCCAAAGAATTGTATGCTCTTGTAAATTACTCTTCTTTTGAATCCTTTTGTAATTGTAGTACTATTTAAATAAATCATCATAATCCATTCATTCAAAACATTTCGAATTTATTGAAAAGAATTTCCAAGAAGTTTAAGTGAAAAGGCAATATGGTTAGTACTTGTATTGATAGGTAATTTGGCATTCAATGGCTTTAATTTCTTGCATGTATTCCTTTCTCATCTCAATATCACGCATTAACCAATCAATGATAAATCTCAATAGTTTTTTACCATCACACCTCAATCCATACTTGATTTTTGTTGCGGCTTTAAGGAAGGTGATTAATGTAGTTGGAGAAAAGTTCAGTAATTCTTCTTGATTCGTCGAGAGAATTGCCTCAAAGTTCTTACTCATTTCCAATACACATGTTTGCAACATTCTATCAATGAATGAATCTTGAACATTTAATGAGAGAATCAATTTGAAAACAGTAAAACAATTTGATGGCTTGATGTTGGTTTCAATATCGATCTGAATTGATTCAATCAATCCACCCTTAACCATATACTGTAGAATGATGATTATAATTTGATAGAAAATTGAAATAATTATTCAATACTCGTCTTCTTACCTTTTGAGAAATTAAAAGCAAATTAATTGCTTGTTCTGTAGTAAATGAAATCTCACCCGAGTAGAAGAATTCAATTAATTGGAGTAGTGCTTCTTCTTCAATCAAATCATTAACAATCCATTCATCATTCTGTACAAAAGATGTAGACTCCTCAATTATTGTATTTTCAGCAAGATTACTGGTAACCTCAACAAATTCCTCATCTCTTTCCACCTCCTCTTCAATAGGATTGAATAACCGATCAAAGAATTCCGAATGAACAGAGAGTATACCCTTCCATACGAAAATCTTCCTTTTCAAATTTACGAACACAATAGTAAAATCCGAATAATTTGGATTATTATACAAGTGCTTAAATCTTGATCTGTGATCCTCCTTAAATACAACCATGATGATTCCTATTAACTATATATCGACTACAATTGTTTGATATTTTCTTTAATAATGTGCTGTTATAACACGAGACAAAACAACTCCAATCGCTCTCTCCTAATATTATTTAATAAGAATTGAAAGGTTGAGAGATAAAGATGATGATTGTGTCTTTCAATATTTACAGCGAATTATTAAGGGATGCCGACAAGGGGTTTTTTATTTTTATAATGATGATTTATGATAATTATCGCGCTGATTATCTGAGCATAATTTGGTGTTTCTTAATTGTGTTGAGCAATATATTCAATATTTATTAATACTATTATTAATTAACGTATGGACAATTGCAAGTGAGAGTATTCGATTCAGAGACGAAAGGTTGACATCCAGAACAAACCCAAACAGAAGAAGTTGAATAGTATTCTGATCCAGATGTTGGCAAAGAAACTTGGATACATTGTCCCTTACCACTTGCAGATCTCAAAAAAGTAGTACTGAGATCTGGGAAGGCACAATTAGTTACAGAAATGGAATTGCAAGTTCCCTTAATGAAATCAAAATAGAAGGAACCATCTTCTTGTCTGTGAATGTAAGGCTTGAATGCATAGTTCTTCATTTGTGGTTGATTGAACATTTTGATAAATTCTGTGGCAAATCCACTACTTGCACCAGACAATTCAATCTTTTCACCCAATTGACCAATTTTACCATTTCTAGCGTAATGATAAACATAGAATGGAAGTGTTTGAGCTTGCTCTGATTGAATGTGAGAATATAACGAAGAACGAATGTTCAAAATCTCTTTAACCTTTGCGTCCAAGTATTCTTGGTAAACTTTCTTCATATTTTCTTGCTTTGGACCATTTGGGAAAGCTCTCCAAATTGGAACTGATAAGAATTTAACAGGAACTGGGTTGAGACTGAATGTGTTAACTCTCTGCTTGATATCACTCAATTCTGGATTACCTCCAACAATGTCCAATTGTGAAACTTTGTGATATCTAATGTAGCCACTTGGAAGAGTGTTTGGAGCATCACCGGCTGCCATTTGCAATTCCAAATCCAAATAATTCTTCATATTAGCATCATTGAAACAAGATCTAACTGAAACAGTCAAATCAACAACTCCACCATACTCAACTTGATAAAGAATTGAATCTCCAAATGATGAAATAACTAAATTATATAAATCTCTATCCAATGTTGATGGTAAAATATCTAAAATTCTTTGAAAATCTTCAGTGACTTCAACTTTATCAACTGAAACAGCATGTGTAACATATTGTTGTTGAGCATCCATGACCATCATGTTTCCCTTAAAGTAGTTTGTGAAAATTTCGGCAGCTCCAGAATTATGACTATACAATCCATTATAAATAGGAACACCATCACCTGGATACACATAATCAAAGAATCTCTCGGCACTATCCATCACATTCAGGAATTTAGTGACTGTTTGTGTGACCTTCTTTGCTTGAGGTGATTTAACAATTTGAGGTTTAATAGTGTGATCTATTCTGCTGTATCCAACTCCAGCCACAATTGGCAGATCCTCCATTACATTTCTAGAGAGTGGATTGACCCTCACTCCATTACATTTCAATCCCTTCATTCCAATCATACATTTGGCTTCCATCTTTGAGATTTGTGTTTTTAATTGAACCTTTGGATCCACAAGAGCCCTCAATCGAGGAGTCTGATTGGAGTAAACAATTAAATTCAACACAACAATGATGAATGAAAACATAATTCCACTCTTCATAACCTTGTTGTTGCATGTTGTATACATGTTTATATTTTTATGATAATTATTAGATTCATCATGCTTTTGAAAAATCAGCAATAATTAAAAACTAATTAATGCTGCTGCTGGCTTGATGTTGTTGATGTTGAGGTATTTTCTATTTGTGATGATGAGACCACTACTGCAATGTTGTTATTGTTCGTCGAGTATTTGGCGAGAGAGGTTTTGGTTGTGTGGTATTTTCAAATTTCCAAAAACAAACTAACTGTAATCAAGTGCTAAATTTGTGCTTGCCTTACACAATTAAGACAGTGAGGGAGATTGCGAAGATTCAAATTACAACTAGTTTAAAGTTTACAAAATATGAAATAGTTGACGAAATTGAAAATGTCTTAACCATTTTCTTTACTCTTATTGGTAACTTAAAATATGGAGGTTAGGAAAATTCTCTTGATGAATCACTAGCTTGCGTTTAAATTATGTTAATTAATAATACTTTATTTCAACAGAAACCTAACCAAACCATTGACGAAAGGTCAATCCAATGTGTTTCCACACGTCAATTAAATTTCTGTGTATTCTACAGTCTCAGCATTTTCCTCTTGATTGTTCAATTCATTCTCATCGACTATTTCCTTTTGCAACTCTAAATCTCTCTTATGCCATTCTCTCCACTTTATAGTATCAATTACTTGTATCTTTCCACTCTTTGGTTTTGCAATTTTGAAACATTGACACAGGGCCAAAGCTGCAAACCAATTGAAAATTTCAAATAATTTCAACCAGAGAGGATCTTCCACTCTCACTCCACTGTTTGGATCGTAATCCTCATAACATTTAATAGATGTTAGAGCACCAACAACAAGAAGTAAACATCCAACAATGGCAGAGTTTACAATAACAACTACTTGAAGAAGTGATAATTGATAACTCAATGCTGCCACTTCATCCTTGGTAGCATAACTCTACATTCAAATAACAAAATTAAAATACATGTAACATGTTCAACAACTTACAGTTGAATTTGTGATGGTAGAATTGGAAATTGTCGAGTTTGTTTGTCCATTCACTTGAATCACAGCAACACTCAACAATATCAACAAACAAATGAAACCCTTTAAGGATTGCGACATTTTTTTCATAATATTTCTGAAACACTGCTTTCCATTGAGTGATGCAGGTGTGATACTCCTTATAATTGTGTTGCGTAGTGGCTAGATTGTGGTCAGTTTGTTAATTGGTTCACTCAAATATTATGAGTAGAAACGAATCAAAACAATGAAAAGAACTTTCGTACAATTCTTAATAATCAAAAATCCCAATTAAATTTAATGATGCTGAGCTGCCCCTGCGAAAAATTCGCTTCATACAAACCCATGAACATTTAAGGTTGAAAGCTCGGTCAAGATTCTTTACCACCAAAACAGAATCTCAACCAAATCGATTTGCATTTTTATTTTTAATTTTATTTTTAAATATTCATTCTTCCTTCCGACCTACTAGTTGGAACATGGCTAAAACCAATTAGACCATGTTGCCTAATAACTCTAAATTATCGTATTCATCATCGCCTTCAATGAACATCGTCATCAGACGCTGCGTCTTTTTGTTAGTTGTGTGTTCTTGTTGCTTCCACAAGGAAATGTGATAACAACGATAAGATTCATTGAAAAAGCCCAAAAAGCAACAGACATAACAGAAACACACAATTAAAAAAAAATGGCAGATGATGCACATATCGAATTGATAGATGCGACTGCCCCAGCCGCAAATACTGGAGCCTCCAGCTCAAACAATAATACAACAACGAATAATACATTTGCAGAGGCTGTAAGAAAATCCTTGGATTATATTCAACATGCTACTACAAATAGGCCAAGTACTGACAGGAAAGCACCATCTACAGAAGTAGGTGCCATCTTTGAAGAAGTCCGTCAAAGTATTGACTTGGTCAGAAGTATGCAAGAACAGGAACAAAAAACTGGTAAGAAGGGAAAGAAGAACAAGGTTTTGGAGAAGGCCAAGAAAAAGGCTATTGATATTACCGAACACGAGATGCCAGTAGAGAAATTGTTGGACTTATATGGCTCTAATTTTGCTTCTGACCCGGAAGCTTCCCAAGGTTTGAGTGAAAAGGTTGCTCAAGAACGTTTAGCTGTCAATGGTCCTAACAAATTGAAACCACCTAAGAAGAAGCCATTTATTTTCAAGGTTATTGAACAATTTACAAGTTTATTCTCTTTGTTGATGATTTTTGCCGGATTCTTATGTATTTTGGATCCTATTATTGAACAAAGTGTAGACTCAATTCCTAATGTCTTTTTGGGTGTCATTTTGTGGGCTGTCGTCGTTTTGAATGCCGCCATTTCATTGGTACAAGAAAGAGGAAGTGAAAAAGTATTGGAAGGTTTTATGTCTATGCAAAAGAGTTCAGTTTTAGTTGTAAGAGATGGTGTTTTAAGAAAAGTTGATGCGGATACACTCGTTTTGGGTGATATTGTTAAAATTGAAGCTGGTGACATTGTTCCAGCCGATTTGAGACTTTTACATACAAGTGGTTTGAAGGTAGATAACAGTTCTTTGACTGGTGAAGCTGATCCTCAAAGCAGAACATCCGAATCTAGTTCTTCAAATCCATTGGAAACAGCCAACTTGGCTTTCTTTGGTACAACTGTTCTTGACGGAAGTGGATACGGAATTGTAATTAGATGTGGTAACGTTACAGTCATTGGTCAAATTGCTCTCCTTGCTGGTACTGCTCCTACTTTGAAGACTCCATTGAGAAGAGAAATTGATAACTTTGTTAGAAGTATTGGTATTATTGCCTTGACCAGTTCTGTTATCTTGTTTTGTATTGCTTTGGGTCTCGGACTCAGTTGGTATCAAGCTTTCCTTTTTGCTATTGGTGTAGTTACTGCAAATATTCCAGAAGGTTTAATTGCCGTCGTTACTGTTTGCTTGACTGTTTCTGCTAAGAGATTGATGGCTGTTAATGTCCTTGTTAAAAAATTAGAACACGTCGAAACTTTGGGTAGTACATCTGTAATTTGCTCAGATAAGACAGGTACTTTAACTCAAAACAGAATGACTGTTGTTGAAACTTGGATTGACGGTAATGTTAATGCTATTGCTTATGAAAGAATGATGAAAGCAAAACCAGAAAAGCCTGCAAGTGAACTCCCAGATATGAGTCAAATTTCTGAAGAAGCTTTGACAGGTTATCAAACTCTTATCAGAGCATGTGCATTGTGCAGTGCTACTACCTTTGTTCAATCTGAAACCAATCTTGCCAAGCCAATTCTTGACAGAGAATGTATTGGTGATGCTTCTGAAACAGCCCTTATTAAGTTTGTTGAAACTAGAAATGATACAGCTACTCTTCTAGGTATTAGAGGAGCACACACCAGTCTCTACACTATTCCATTCAATTCCAAGAATAAGTGGATGTTGGAAGTTCGTGAAAAACCAGGTTTGGATAAGGCTATTCTTTTTATGAAGGGTGCCCCAGAAAGAATTATCAGTAGATGTACATCAATCTTAATTGGTGGTAAGGTCTTCCCATTGGATGAAATGTGGAAGAATAACTTCCAACAAGCTTATGACTTCTTTGCTATGAAAGGTGAACGTGTCTTGGGTTTTGCTCAATTGATGATTGATAAGGAATGTGTAAAGAAACAATTAGAAGCAGAAGAATCAGGTGGTACATCTGACGGTTTGTTGATTCCGACTGAAGGTTTGACATTTGTTGGCATGTGTGCTTTGACTGATCCTCCAAAGGTTGGTGTTCCAGAAGCTATTGCTAAATGTAAACATGCTGGTATTCAAGTTGTCATGGTTACAGGTGATCACCCTGCTACTGCTAAGGCTATTGCTAAACAAGTTGGTATTCTTAATGACGACTGTATGACTAGAGAAGATCTTGCCATGGATGAAGGATGTTCCGCAGAATCCATTCCATTTAGTAGACCAGAAGTTGATGCTGTTGTTTTGCATGGTGAAGAAATTGACAAACTCTCTTCTAAGGAATGGAGAGCAATTTTGAAGAAGAAACAAATTGTATTTTCCAGAACTTCTCCTCAACAAAAATTGTTAATTGTCAGCAAATTCCAAGAAATGGGTCACTGTGTTGCTGTTACTGGTGATGGTACTAACGACTCTCCTGCTTTGAGAAAGGCTGATATTGGTGTTGCTATGAATATTTCTGGTTCTGCTGTTTCTAAGGATGCAGCTGCTATTATTTTGATGGATGATAACTTTGCTTCAATTGTTAACGGTGTTGAAGAAGGTAGATTGATTTTCGATAACTTGAAGAAGTCTATTGCTTATACTTTGACTCACGCCATTCCAGAAGTTAGTAGTTTCTTGGTTTATGCTATTTTTGGTATTCCACTCCCATTGACTGGTGTTCAAGTCTTGATGATTGACTTGGGTACTGAATTGATGAATGCTATTTCTCTTGCTTATGAACCTGCTGAAAGTGATATTATGTCTGTTCCTCCAAGAAGTAAGACAGAGAGACTTGTCGGTTTCCAACTTTTCTCTTATTCATATCTCCAAGTTGGTGTAATTGAGGCTCTTGGTTGTTATTGTTGTTATTTCCTTGCTCTTGCTTTCTATGGTGTTCCACCATCATATTGTTGGAATGCTTCTAGATCAAACTACTTTACAGCCACTGCTCCAGACTTGCACATTATTGAAACAGGTCTCAAGATTTCTGCTAAACATCAAGTAGATATTTTGTGTACTGCTCAAACAGCTTATTTCCTTTGTATTGTCATTTGCCAATGGGCTACCTTAATGTCAACAAGAACAAGAAGAACATCTGTATTCTTTAAGGGATTCTCTGCAAACTTGTGGATTTATGCAGGTGTTGTTTTTGCTGTACTTTTGACTTGTTTCTTCTTATACGTTCCTTTCATTTCAGATTTCATTTTCCAAATTAGACCTGTCAGTATTGACTTTTGGTTGTGGCCAGTTCCTTGGGCTTTTGGTGTTTTGTTCTATGACGAACTTAGAAAATTATTATTGAGAAAGTTGAAGATTTCTGCCATTGCCTGGTAAACTAAAATAAAACCTAAATTATTCTAAAATCAGATTAATCTGAATATCTAGCTTTCCAAGTTTCTGATTTAACAGAATAGACGAACATTGAGAGATACACAACTACCTATTGTAGACGGGTTTTTCCTTACAACCGTAAATTAATTTCGCCTCTATTGTCTGTTGAGACTCTTTCCATAACCTCAGTCTCAAAAGAAACCAAAATGCAATTTTCAAAAGTTTCAAAAAAAATACAATTAAACATAATGATGCAACAACAGTCAACAACAACATCACAAGAGACCATAACAACACCAACAACTTCCGATGCATTGTCACGAGATGAAATCGAATATAAACAGAAGGAAAAACAGCAACAATTCGATGAAGAAAAATCATTGACATCTCCGACATCTTTTACTACCACTACTTCTCAACAACAACAACAGAAGCAAACTTTGGACAATAAACAACAAGAAATTAATGAAAGTAATAAGACATTGAATAGTAAAGAATTATCTGGTCCTAATAAATCAAATAAATCGGAGAGTTTGGAGCATCCCATGTCTATCAAGGAATTTCTCAAGATTACAATTCTTCCTCGATGGTATTCAGTGCCCAACAAGGTGAGTGAAGCAAGAGATATGTTGGCAACAGTAAGTTTCACTCAGATGATGGAATTTTTAACTTTATAATAACAGGAAAGAACCATGTTGAGTTGGTATAGAACTGCATTTTCAATTTTGGGTGTTGGAATTGCTGTTTCGAGGAGTAAGTTTCTATATATAAGAGTGTTTATATTGATTTATTGATATATGATAGTGAAAAAATCTGATGGTTCTGTAATTCCAAAGGTTGTTGGAGCAATTTCATGTTCACTAGCTATGATTTTAATCATGTATGCTCATTTGAGATATTATGCAGTTATGAAATCTCTATTCGAATGTAAGTTGAAAGAGTTTTGTGTCTATATTAACTCGACAATAGATCACTTTTCTGCTGATACATTATCTCCTCCTTTCATTCTCCTTATTGGCTTGCTAATTTGTGTCATTGCTGTTCTTTTATTCTTTGTGTAAATAACCCCCTAAACTTAATTTTGATATAATAAATTAATTTATTTAAACTCGAATTTCAGTATTATATTTACATTCTAATCAATTGGTTGTTGCTCATTTAAATTCATTCAATTAACAAAGACAAGTGCCAAAGCAAGAATACACACAACCATTCCAAATAAAAACATGAAAGGAGGTGCAAATAAATCGGCCACATACATGCCACCAATCAATCGTCTTGTTGCGTATTGGAATCGAATGAAAGAGTAAATGAAAATCAATAAACCCAAAATTACAAAAATTGTTCCAATAGAAACCATTAGAATTTTAACTTCTGCAGTATCAGACGAAGATGTTAACACTAAAAAATCAGTACATGCATTCTCTTGAAAACTTACATTTGGAAACTGCAATACCAATTGCCACAATTGACAATGCAGTTCTAACCCAAGCTAATTGAGTTCTCTCCACAGCCAACAAATCTCTTGCTTCTGATTGTTTGTTTGGATGAAAGGTCCACCTAGGAATGAAACCCATTAAATAATCAAGAGAATATCTCTTATTGGATGATTGTCCTGTTATTGTAGATTCATCTTTATGATGTTGTTCCTTTTCCTCAGCTGAGGGTGACATTATAACGTCCTTCTTCTTATCAACATTAATATCTTTTAATTCAATTTCCATTAGCAAATCATCATCGGATTTTACCTCATCCGAAAGGTTATTACCACTTGTATGCATCATGACAGATCCTCCACATTGTAATTCTTCTTCTTGTGTTTCATCTAGTAATTGCAAGGATGCACCAGCGAGCTTTGATTTTGAAAAATTCATTCCTGATGATGGTGGTGGTAGTGAGGAGAAAGGTTGTAATTTTTTGTTTTCTTCTTGATTGATAATTGTCGTTATTGTATTGTCCATTTGTGTTTCATCCGATTTGGGAGTGGTTATGGTAATATCGATTATTGGCAATGATGATAATGAAGTATTGGATGCATGTTCTTCTGTTGATGATGGTAGTGATTGAGCGGCATTTTGCTTTGAATCTTCATCTTGTTGATGATGATTTATATTTGATAAGGAAGAGCTTAATTGCTCACTCCTCTCCACACTTCCTCCAAAACTCACAGACCTCTGCAAAATGGTATCAAGTCGGGGTGATGTTGTTATTGTTATTGTCGTTTGCGACATTTTTTCATCAAAAGTTACTGACTTCTGTGATTCTCAATAACAATTTCCCTTATTTTCTTCTGGCCATTATTATTGCGCCATTTTATTTGTCGGCTAAATTCAGAGCCTAAAATTTCATAATTCATATGAAATTTTGTTATGAAAACTCTAGAATAAATAAACAAGATGTTTGCTGAATGTTATTGAGGACTTTTTATATGAATTTTGTTGTTTTGGTTGTGTGTGACTAATTCATGCTCCTTAAAACCTTTTCAAAATATTAGATTGTTCTCTTGTATCTTCTTTGAAATCTCGATAACTAGATTAGGTTGTATTTTTTTTAAAATTTTACTGAAAAACCATTATTTCAAATTCATTTTTCAATACAAGACCTTATTAAAATCTGTCGAAGTTGAATTAGTAATTTCTTGTTGTGCTTGTTTAATTTTTTAAACTTAATATTCAATTTCTTTGTTGTGTTTGTTTAATTTTTTGTTTATTTATTTAGTTATGTTTGTTTATTTTTTTGTGGATGTTAAATTGTTTGTTGATTTTTTATGTTTTTAATTACAATAGAAAGTTGTAAAATGTAGTTTCAAATTTAAAAATTCATTTACATTATCTGATTTTAAATTCTTCTCTTCAAATCTATCAAGAGGGCGGTTAGATCAGTCTTATTTTGGCTAGAAAGATGAAGAGGTGAAAGAATTTGTTGTTTATTGTGAGCGTAAGATGATAACTTTTCAACATACTAATAATTCTTTTGTGAAGATTTTACATCTTCAATCTTCTCCTCTAATAATTGAAAATATGCCACTAATTGAAGCAGCATACAAAATGGTAAACTTAGAATCAAATTTCGTAAACACGGATAAATGAAAATGATTAAGGCAACTACAAAATTATCAATAAAATATTCACTCTAGAAAGCGGATTCAAAGAGAAATTAAAATGCTGTCTCTTTTTATATGTCGTTGTTAGGGGCGAAATATTTGTAGTGGTTTTAATAATAAATAACAAATCATATTTAAAAGAATTAATTTGATTTTCTTGATGAAATAAAATGTGATAGGTTTGATGTTCCATTTTTTTTAGATTCTTTTTATTCAAAAACTAAACCTCTAAAGTAATATATCCCAACCCCTTTTTGGATATTGGTGAATAAATTTATTGTAATTGAGTTGATAAGCTAATAAATATTCGTAAAGTGATTTGACTGGGATAGATATTGGATATTAATATACTCTTTGAGAATGCAGATAGTGGTATTTCTTGGATATTGGAATTGGTTGTCATTTAGTTTGGTACTGAAAGACATTTTCATCACACTCTTTGAGAATTGGTGAATAAAGTTTCTTCCTTTACAACGAAACTCTTAAGTACAATAAACATGGGTTTTCCAATTTAAAATCAATCAACATTATCAAGAGGTAACAAATAATGAAATCTTGTATTTAACGGTTCTAACATTTTCCCTTAAAGTATCCAAAATAGACCCCAATGCCTTCTTCTTTCATTGTTAAAATTTCAGTTTCCATTTGTCCATTTCATTTTCCCACTAATTTTGTTACAATAAAAAATGCCTGCTATTGAAATCCACATAACACTGGCGAAAGGTAAATCTGGTAAGACAAGAATTAAAGCCTTCGCTGATGGTTATTCCGTAACCGGATATATTAAACGTGTTTCTCACGATGTTTGTGTTGTGAGAATGGAAGCAGGAAGAAAGGAAAGGATTATTGCTTGCCTTGCAGCAATTGCACAAGAATTAATGGATGACTCAAATTTTGAATTAATATTTAGTTCTATTAAGCCGTTGTTGGGCAGAAGAGAATACAATAAATTTTCCATAATTACGGACCAACAATGGAAGAAGAATTGCCAACTTGCTGTTTCGTCCGATGAAACTTCTATTCCCCAAACCACAGTTAATAAGGAGGTTGTGTTTCAAAAAACAAACGTTAAGAACATGTTGGAGCAAATTATGGCAGAGATGTCTGAGAGTGACGTATCCGAGAGTGATCCAAACATAGCAAATCAACCCACTCCATCAAGACTAAAGTATTCCCTATTCGAAAACTCTACAAAGTACGTGGTAGAAGTGTCTGCTCCCTTTATACCTATTGAGAGCATTCATGTAGAATACACACTTGGAAAACTCAGCATACAGACACAGACAATAGTTAACTCCTATCACAATGGTATGAGACCTATTCAAGAAGGCTTCAAATATGGTGGATACACTCACACTGAAATAATTCTCCCTCCTTCCGCTGGTGGATTAGATTTTGATAACATTTTTCTTGATAAGGGTATTCTAATTGTGACTGTCCTTAAAAAAAAGGTGATAAAAGAGATTCCAATAATAAAGCCACAAGATATGAAAGTTCATCAATAAATGAAAGAATAGTATTATCTTTAATTTTGAATGGCATTAATGTGACTCATGTCTACATCAACCGCCATTGCTGTGCCAATTAAAGTACTCTTCAAATTGAGAGGATTGGCGTTAATAATATCCATACCAACCTTTCTAGCAAATCCAGCAAGACCCAAACCTTTGAGCAATTCAACATGATTTTCAGCTTCAAAAACTCCCTTAATTGCATCTAAACCATCCAAATACATTTCATTTCTAGAGTATTGAACCTTTTCATATTCACTCTTCAAAACAGAATAATCACCAACAGCAGATCCAGATCTAACACTCTTTTGAATTGCCTTAACAAGTTGAATAACATCAACAAATCCCATGTTAACACCTTGTCCAGCCATAGGATGGCAACAATGAGCAGCATCACCAACCAAAGCAATACCAGGTTGAACATATTCACGACAGTGAAGTCTTTGGAGTGGGAAGCTACCAGCTGGGAAATAATTTACAGTTTCTGATTTTTCAGTGAGTATACTTGGAACAATCTTTAACTTTCCAAATATTGTGTTCATTTCTTCCAAAACTTGTGATTGTTTTCCAGATTTATAGGTCGACTCCAAGTTTATAGCCTTTGATGGTTCAGTAGACCAAATAATATTTCTAACATTTGATTGTTTGGTTGGAAGCATGGCAATAGGTCCATCACCTTGGAATTGTTGGTAGCAAAACATGTTCTTACCAGTGCAGGGCACACTATCTGTATCCACAAAAACATTAGTTACAAATGCTCTTTGCTTATACTTCGAAGAATAGAATGGGAAGTTACAGAATTGTCTCACAAATGAGGCAGCGCCATCAGCTGCAATCAATAAATCACAAGTAATTTCTTCTGTCTTTTTCTCATTTCCTACAATTGTTTGAAGAAGAAGCTTTTTAACATTTTGATCATTTCCTATGGATTTCAATTCTGATCCATCATAAAGTGATACGTTATCTTGTTTTTTAAGTACTTCCGATAAATTTAAAACAATATCATTATTATCAACAATAGCTCCGATGGTTCCATCCTTACTGATTTCATCATTTAATCCAACTCCTCTATTGATCAAAGTTTCATTAACATTTTTAGCAGTATTAATTAATTGACCTCCAATTGTTGATAATGAACGAGCCAACATAGATGAACCTAAACTATCAAATGGGCCTTTAAATTCATTCTCATTAGGATCCAAATTTAAAAAGTTTCCATCCTGATCCCAAACTTTCATTCCGTAATATTTAGCCATTGGTATCGGATTTGAATTATCTTGAATCTTTTCAAGAAGTCTAATTGATGTTCCGGTCAAGGCACTTGTTCTAATTCCAATAGAACCAGCACCCGATCCAAAGAAATTATTATTTGTTTGTATAGCAGGATTAATCATGGCAATCTTTAAACCGTTGGTATATTTAGCCTTTGCAAGAGCACTGGCCAAAGCATTACCAATCATACCTCCACCAACAATGCAAACATTAAAATGTTGTCGAGTCATTTTTTTTCTTCTTTTTTTGTGGTGATCGGAGTTCGATTTTATTAAATTGATTAAATTGATTAAGAAAAGAAAATACACAATTGAAACTATTACAACAGCTTTTGTAAGTGTGAAAAGTCAAAGCTTGTGCTCTTATTTTTCAGTTTATTGAGCTTTCTTAGGACCTCACTCAGATCAAAAAATCTATTTTGCCGAATTGCATTGATTTTCAAAACAGTGTTCAGGCCACAAGTTCTAACTGATTACACTTTCTTTATTCTTAATGTTATCTCCTTCCATCATCCTCAATATTTTCTAGATAAAGGCAATATCCCACTACGGCGTAGTCATATCCTCTTTCATTGTTGTGGAACTCTCTCAGTTGACACCTCCTTAATACTCATTCACACACCTTTTTCTCTATCCGCTCGTTCTGATGATGTTTAGAAAGCTGTTATCCATTATTCTCTATAGATGAAAAACAGTGGTGGAAGCAATTTGCTTTACCGTAATTGAAAAATCAGTTAAGGACGCTGTTAAGGTTTTTTTATAACGAAAAAAACAAAGAAAAAAAAACCGTTTAACAAAGAACTTACTTCTCTATGCCAACCTCGTAAAATGTCATCATCCCATTCTTCTGTTTATTCGCCAACTTCAGCATCGTCATCATCAGCTGCCTATTATTATAATTCAACACCGCCAACAACCCCAACAAAATCCTCATCATTGGGAACACTAAGTCGTTCTGCAAGTGCTGGTCGTCTTCCTGGATTGAGAAGTTTCAGGACACAAGTACAACCACCCTCAAAATCACATCAAGAATATTGCATGGAAATGGCCAAGTTGAGGAATGTGAGAAAGAAATCGACCATGCAACTCGTTGAACAAATGAATTGTGTTGTTAAGGTTGTTCAGAATTTATCCAATGAGAGGGATGTATTTAGTGCTCCACCAACTGGAAGAAGAAAGGAGAGGGAAAGACTCTTCTCTGCTCGTTCTGTCAAGTCTATGAAAACCTACTTTAAGCCTTAATGTGTTCTACTCTGAATCTCTTTGGAGGATAACCACAAGAGAGAGAGTTTGAACAATGATCTTTGGATTTTTTGGTATGTGTGAAATTTTACTCAACATGCCAATTATAATCCCTCCTATAGGAACAATTTTGATGCAAACCAATGTAAAAACCCCTCTGTAAATTTGAAAACAATAAAAAGGTGGTGCTGAAATAAGAAACCAAGATTGTGTTGCTACGTCGGCCGTGTTAAATCAAAATAATTTACCAATTTGAAAATTATGAAGACGGAAGGATAATTGAGAGAATATTTTCTCTTCCATTAGAATCAGATTGGTGGAATCATGTAAAGCAGTCCAAAACTTATCATGTTGTCTGTATAATTTGAAATCAAGATGTGCAAAAATCGAAACAATAAATGGTACCCTCTGATTCACAAACTAATCTCTTGAAATTTCCATCATATTTAATAAAGACTGCCCGTACATAGTGTTTTGGTAATCCATCAAAACTCTGAAATTTCACATCACAAAATGGAATACTTTCCAATACTTGTCCACTTCCTTTCTTTCTAACATTTCTAATAAAATAAAATCCCAACTCTCTCATTATACTCATCAATGAAATGGAGGAAAATCGTTTAAATCGTTGGGAATAATAATTTGTTCTATAATATTCGCTACAGAAATAAAAAATTGACATGTGTTTTAAAGAACACTTATAAATTGACATGTCCCAATCTCCACTATTTTCTATTTGATAGTTTGGATGTGTTCTTAATTGATTAAACCTGTATTTGTAAAATAAAATTTGTGTTCGTAGGTCGGTTTTTGGTTTTGATTTGGATGGGTTGACTTGAAGTTGTGATTTTAGCATTCGGAAGAGAATTTTCTGATCATTTTCTATAAAATTAATACAAGTTACAATAACAGGTTCCTCCTCTTCATGATTTGACATTTTTTTGAATTGTTTTATGACATGATTAAAAATTGGTGAAAATCTTCTATGCCCTTGCAGACATTATCCCCAAAAGATCTGCTTGGATTAGCGACTTTACAATATCCAAGTACTGAAAAAATGAACCTTAAAGAAAGTAGATATTATAAGGCCATTTAATTAAGAGGTTGAATTCCACTTTAAAACGAATCATTGTAATTACACTTCCAAATTTAAATTGGACTCTGTATATCAACATCTTAATGCAGAATTTTGAATCTTTCACCATGTGAGGGGCGTTATCTGCATGGCAGATATTTCTCTTGCAAAGATTTCACATCCACTCTGTGTCCTTCCAACAATGGATGCTTTAGTGGATGGACCACTTTGCATCAACATGGTCTCCAACTGCATTAACCAACCATATTATGATACAAGCATTTAAAAAAACAAATCAAAATGATTAAGGCATTCTTAATTGCTGTGTTGTGTTGTATCATGATGAGAGAAACATTGGCTCTCTCATGTAGAGCAGGTACTTATGAAGGTGTTGCCTTTGGTTCGCCTGCATGTATGCCATGTACTCCAGGATTCTATTGTCCTAATGGTAAGTAAGGATATTTTAATTTCCTAGTACATATGATATTATTTCATGTGAAGGTGTTGTTGCTGAAAGATGTCCATTCAATACTGTCAGTTTTGGAAGTGCTGATACTTGTACACAATGTGCTGATAATGCCAATAGAGGTACTGATCCTGACCACGTAGCCTGTCTTTTAGCTGATGCACCAAAGGATATCGTTCAATTCAATAGCAAATTGGTTTTGACTTCAAGTGATCCAGTTAGTGCCTATACTACTTTACGTTATGAAAATTACTTGTACATTTTGATCAGAATTAAGCAAGTTAATAATATTGATCCAACTGTTAAGAACATGATTAAGGTCTATGGTGGTAGAACTTTTGCTAATCCAGGTCCAGCTCAATATGAAAGATATTCCAATTCTAAGGAACCATACATGTTATTACCATACACTTCATCATTTGACAATGTTTATCTTACCATTATCGGTGCTCCTGATACTACACTCACTATTGAAATGAGTTTGATGCAAAAGAGAAGCTAAATCAATTTGTCTAATAATGAAGTTAACTATCTGTTAATTTAAATCAAGATATAATAATGAACATACTTATTAAGTGGCTGTTTGTTTCTAATATTAAGTTTTTATAATTTACGCTTCTGAGGTTAATAATTTCAAGGCAGCTTCTTCATTCTTCGAAGATACAGGCTCTTTAGCAATTTGGAAAGCTGAAATAAGAGCCATAGTTTGTAAAGATTCACTGGTTCCTAATGAAAGTCTATATTCGATATCACTCATCTTTTCTAATAAATAAATTCTTACTGCTATTGGAATGTTCAATTTCATTACGTATGGATGGATATCTCTCAGAATATCTTGGAGGGCCAATCCTCTTTCTGTCTTGATGTTCATAACCTTTTTATAGGCATCAGCAAGTGAGTCATTAAATAAAGAATTAATAATCAATCTAATATCTTCCTTCAATGGGTTACCTGTACACATGTGAACGTTGTCTTCTGTTATTTGCCCAAATGACATGAATGTTGATTGGAGAATATTGACACACTTTCTCATATCACCATTAGACAATCTGTAAATAGCATCCAATCCAACTTGGTTATAGATTACATTTTCTTCTTTACAAATTTCCTCAAGTCTAGAAACAACTTCATGTTTCTTGAGAGGGGAAAATCTAAATCTAGTACATCTGGATTGCAATGCAGGAATAATCTTATTCACATAATTGCAAATTAAACAAAATCTCACATTTTTAGAATACTTCTCAATAGTACGTCTCAATGCAGCTTGGGCATCTTTAGTCATTTGATCAGCCTCATCCAAAATAATTAATTTAATATCAGGTGTTGTATCTTTTTGAGCTGTAAAGAATTTCAATCCTTTCGTTGATGCAAAGTCCTTGATTTCATTTCTAATAACATCAATACCTCTATCATCACTCGCATTCAATTCAAGAACATTTTGTGTCAACCTATTTCCGAATAATTTCTTGGCAATGGCCAACACTGTACTAGTTTTACCTGTACCTGGTGGACCCTAAAATGATTTATCAATATGTGATGACGATGATGTAATATTTATCGGATCTGTGATGATGACAAAAACTTACATAAAGTAAAAGGTGAGGTAATTTACCACCATCTATCAATCGTTGAATTGTTGAAATAATTTCTGTGTGGGAAAGTAAATCCGTCAACTCATGTGGACGATACTTTTCAATCCACATTTTAGCATCAGATGATGAAGAATTATTTTCAGGCATTTTTTTAGGGCGCGAAATTTGTTTGCGCGCCAAAATAATTCTAGTATTCACAAACAGTTGTTTTCAACAAAAGTTTAGTATATCCAATACTTTTGGTTTCCTGTTGAATATGTTTAAAATTTAATCGAACCCTGATAAGAAAAGGTGTTTTAAATTGTCACAACCTTGTGTTTCCGTTACATAATCAAAATCTTCCCGCCATTTCAAACCGTTACTCATTCCAATTGTCAATGTCCCTTCAAAACTCTAATCATTAATATTTTAACAATTAAAAAAAAACACACCAACAACAACAAACAATAACAAATGGTGAGCAAGAGCAAACAATCCAACAAGGAAATTGTCGTTGAGGATGAACACTTCATCCCAGTCGAACCATCCGAACCAATCCTCCCTCTCAACGAACTCGGTTCAAGATTGGGCAAGGCAGACAATGAAAAGTGGACAGGCTGCAAAGTTGTAGCAGACAAGGAAACTGGTGAGAAGGTTCTACTCGTCAGAGGTATTAAAAACAAGGAGAAGGATCGTAGTAAGAGAATGGTCAAGAAGGGTGGTGAATTTGATCCTGAAAATATTGTCTCAGGCACCAGAAGAAGAAAGAATATTAATTATAAGGAAAATACCGAAAGAAAGGAAAGCAGAAAGACTAGCAGCAAGAATACCCATGAAAATAGATCAAAGGCTGTTGCAAAGACTTCAAAGAAAAAGTCAACCTCCAAGAAGAGAAAGGCAAAGGAAGAAGAACATTCCGAAGAAGAAGAAGAACACGATAAGGAAAATATTGAAAATCAACAAGAAGAAGATGAAGAAATTGTTCAAGCTCCAAAGAGAACTAGAAAGAATAGAAAGAATGTATCTGTCAAGAAGGAAGAACCTAAGGAAGAAGAGCCAAAGGAACCTGAATGGACACTTCCACTCTCTCCTGTCGTTTGTCAATTGATTCAAAAACTTGGTGGTGAATTGCCAACTGAAGCTAAGAAGCGTTGTTATAAGGGTATTAGACTCTCAGAACCAGTTAATTATTGGTGTGCTGTCAAGTGGCCTGAAGATACTCTTTATGTTATGGATCCTGCCAAGACTAATGGTGAAACTGTTGGTCTCTTTAAACATGAATTGTTTGAATTGACTGAAATTGAACAAATACAATATGTTCAAGACAATCCAAATGCTGTCATGCTTGCTGATGGTGAAGGTCTCCTTACTTGTTTACCAGATGAATCTAATGATCCTGATTTTAATGTTCATATCATTCTTGAAGCTACTGAAGGTGCTGATGAATGTGTTTTCCGTATGAAACTCTCTGAATACCTTGCTTCGTTGTCTGTTGATCCAAGAAAGGTGGAAAATTAATTCACCAATACTTGTACATTCTCTAAGCTGTTAATACTAGATTATAATATATTACTGAAATCAATTTCATATGATTGCCCTTTAAGTTGTGGCCACAATGATTGATTTCATTTCTCTAAGTTATTTAAATAAATTTACTAATAATTATTTCACATTTAATGTTTCAAAATTTGCTTGACAAAATATCTTTCACTGAAAGATGCTCTAGTTTATTTCTTCTTAGAAGATTCATAACTAAAAACGAAAACACCAACAAAACTCAAAAAGATTCCACACCATCCAAACAATGAAAAGGTAACACCAAAGAATGCAAAGCTTAAAACTAAAGTCACCAACTTGTAACAACTGTTTGCAATTGAAATGGAAGTGTTGGTAACTAATTTGAGGAGGAAAAAGTATGAAAGTCCAATAAGGAATCCAAATACTGAAGTAATTGCAATATAAATCCAATCAGTTGTACTCAATGAAGCCAAAGCAACACCAACTTGAACTCTATCACTAGAGAGAGCAAGAATAACGTAGAAAATTGGGAGTGAAAGTAAATTTCTAGCAAAATTCATACTAATTGGAGAAACACTTGGCATCCAATTATTTAAAATTCTCTTTTCTACTAATGGAATTAAAACAGTACATAAAGTATTCAAAACAACCCAATGATAACCATTCCATCTTAATGTATCTATAGATAAGTATCAACATGACATGGTATTCATTATTAGAAACAATCATAAATTAATCAATGAATCAATAAAGAAAGATATCATTTTCCATATTAAAAAAATATTGAAATAATATATCGTAATACATCATAATACTACTACTTACAATCACTGAAACTATAAAAAATACTTCCAACAAAAACAGCCAACAATGACAATTGAATTGTAAAATTCATCTTGTAATCAAAGAAAACTCTATCAATAATTGCAGTTAAAAGTGGCACTAAATTTCTAGTAACAGTAACCAAAGGAACACTTGCAATTTTCAATCCTTCAAAAGAAGTCCAAGTTAACAAGACAAAGAATAAACTAGTTGGTAATAAAAAGGTCAACTCTCTCAAAGTTGGAAAATTGAATGGCAAGACATTAAATTGTTTACAAATCAAAAAGGCCAAAACTCCGATAATTGTTTGGATAATAATAATCATCAATGGAGCATCAAAAGATGATGATAAATGTTTGTTAACAAGTGTTAATGTAATACTACTCAAACATTGTAAACCAATCCAAATATGTGGTTTTGTAAAAATTGATAAAGTGTTAATAATTGTTAAAGTTTTGGAATTTTCTAAAAATTCAAAACAAGTCAAATTATCTTCATGTAATTTATCAATTCCATTTAAAAAGGAATAATTGGATGCGAATTGATCAGATGGATGTTCACTATATTCTAATTCTTTTAATACTTGTTTTTTGACATCTGACCATGATGTTTGTGATGAACATGAAATGTTTACCTTGTCTCCGAAAAGTGTTCTAACTTCGAGGGTTTTAAATTCTTCTTGACTTTCTGTATCCATTTTTTTTTAATGTGTGATGACACCTGACAGTCCATGTAGGGACCAACATCCAAAAGATAATAAATTTTTTATTGAATTGGGCATTTTGAATTTATTATTTTATGTAATTTTAATGAAATATTTCAATTCTCCTTAAATATTTGCAAATATTTTCAATAAACTATTTAACTGTTTACAAAAATATTATTAAATATTAAATATTCATCCTCTCAATTTAAATAAAAAGTGAAGAGTTGAATCTTTTTGAATATTGTAATCCAGTAGCGTTTTATCATTCTCCATTTCTTTACCAGCAAATATTAAACGTTGTTCACTGATGGGAACTCCATCTTTATTGAATATTTGATTCTTTACCGATTCAATTGTATCATTCGATTCGACATCGAGTGATAGAACTCTATTGTTTAGAGTTTTGACGGTTATTTGCATTTTGTTTTTTTTTTATTGTTTATTGATCAGAATTCTAAAATTAATTGAAAATTAAATAATATATGGAAAATTGATGAGCGATGAACTCGGTTCTAGTTTGGAAAGCTCTCTTTACAATGAGAACTCTTGATTAATAATAAAAATCCAACTGGTTGTTTATTAAATAATAATTAATCTTTAGATCTCTGAATTCAAATGCAAAAATTGAAAATTGGAAAAATCTTGATTTGTTGCAAAATTTTAATTTTTTATTAAAATTTATAAAAAAATGTCACAAACACCCGGTGGAGTGGGCGTGTCGAATAATTCAAATCCTTCTACTACTCTTCTGGGTTCATCTTCTCAACAACAACCCACCGATATTAATAGTAGTTTGAATATTTTACAAGAAAAGATTATCTATATTGATGATGATCAGCCTACTTCTTCCGACAGCTCGGATACTCAACAACGAAAAAAACAAATTCAACAAGCAATAACGAATATATCAGAGTTTTTTATTTATTACTATCAACAAGAATGTAAATTTAATTTATTAGATTCATCAAGTGGTTCATCTAGCACTGCTACTGCTACTAATAATACAAATAACTCTACATCCAACAATACAAGTAATAATAATTTGGAGATCTTTTATAAAAATGTTACAAATTTCTTAAATATATCTATTCAACAATTATTAAGAGGATGTGGAGATGTGAGTGAATCCATTCGAACATTTTCTAATGAACATTTAAGAAAAGTGATCAAATCAGTAATTGATACACATTCCGATAGAGTATTAGTAATTTTATTTAGATGTATGAAGCCTAAAGCAAATAACAAGTATAGTATAATAAGTGCAATTTCTAATTTTGCAAATATATCACATTATATTAAGCCACAAAAATGTAGAACAATGGTTTCATTTATTTTACCACAATTAATACAATTTATATCTATGGAATTTGACTATTATTCAACTATATTAGAAAATATTATTATGAATGGTTCTCTAGATAAAATTTTTGATATTTTAGGACCATACATTGAAAGTAATGAAATTTATGATTTTTGTAAAGATTTGTACAAATTATTATCACACTCTGAAGTTGAAATTAGAAGAGCTTGTGCTAAATGTATTTCATCATGTTGTGCTTTTATTCCTTCCTGTCCTATTCATCAAATTGCTTTGGACATTTTCAATTTATCAAATAATTGTTTTGATAGGAACCAAACAACAACAACAACAATACATGATAACATCACAAATAACCTTGATCCGACAACAACAACAACAACACCAAACACCACTGCGAGTGAAGGAGTTAAAAAGATGAAAGCAAGTGAAAGTAATTCTAACATAGAATGTACAGATATTAAAACACTGCAAGGAATTTTAAACACCTTTCTAAATTTACTAGTAGTACTAGATGAATTGAAGACAAATAATATAGAATATCAAACCTATAGTAATATTATTTGTGATTTATTAATTGATTGTCTTACTATTCAAGATCAGAGAATTTTATCACCTTCTATTGAATTATTAACTAATTTACTTTCAAAATTTAGTAATTATTGTAAAAATTGGAATAGAGGAAAGGTTAATTCTTTACTTTCTAAAATAATATACTTGTTATCTGTTCAGAGTGTTCTTGTAACTGTTAAAAGTTATGTTTTAGAAACTCTACAACAATTTTTATACGTCTTTCCAGAATGGACATTAGATTCTTTCCAATCTAATGATTTTAATTTGAATTATTTGTTTAATATTTTAGATAATATCGAGGAAGATTATTTAATTCGTGGTAAATCTGCAATTTTACTTTCCACTATTATTGAAGTTTGTGTTAAATTGTCTCACAAAAATTTATATGAAAAAGTAATTCCAATATTTGACTATGAAAGTATTTTATCAATGCCACGTTTAATCGGAAAAGGATCAAATCCTATACTAGGTGGAAGTTCTGCTCACCATTTAATATTTTGTAAATTGAGTCAATATATTATTGATAAGATCATGTCTATCATGATGAAGGAATCATTTAATCATTTATTAATTAGAATGTTAATTAATTCTTGTTCTAAGAGCTTACCTATTTGCTTAAGCTCATTGGGAGAATTATCTTTCCATATTCCAAAATATATTTTATCTATTATTCATGTTAATGACAGTTTTTGGGGAGTCAAGTTTGAAATTTTAAATCTTTTAAATAGATTTGATTATACTCTTATTGAATATTACGAGAGAAAGAATAATGAAACATCAATTTCATTATCAACACAACCACTTTTACAAATTATTGTTGATTTGATTTGGAAATATATTGGTGATGATAACGAAAAAGTTAGAAAGTTATCATGTATGAATTTAATTCAATTATTACCATATCCAAATGTAATGAATAATATTCATGCTCAATTGAACACAAGTAATACTTTAACAAAAACATCATCACAAATGGTTTCTATATTCGAAAGATATTCATCTAATTATGATAATAGATTATTGAAACAAATCATTTCATCAGATATTTTGAAATATAGAAATGTTATTAGGGATCATGAATTGACCAATGTGGTTCTTGTTATTACACGTTGTATTTCTCAATTGAGTCTTGTAAAGGATGACAAACATACTTTTATTGGTATTTTAAAGTTATTATCTTTAGTAGCAAAGAAATATTCCTATACTAATACTCATAATTCTAATGTTAGTAACAGTAATAATAGTGTTTCCATGATTAAACCAGTTATTGCATACTACAGTATTGAAGTGTTAGAATTACTGTTAGACAAATTAAAATATTCATCTGAAATTAGTACAGATTTAAGCGTACACTCAATGATTATCAAGACAATGGGATTATATATTACTCAATTAAAACATTTAAATGAAGCCAAGGTCTTGTACATTACTGAGCATTTATTAGAATATGAACAATTTATGATTGATTTGATAACAAATGTTTTTGATGAACAGTACATTAAACAATTATCAACCATTCAATCAGAATACCAAAAACATATGCACAAATATGTTTATGACAAGCTGTATAATAACATTTATCAGTCAGCCAAGTCATCTATTAGTAATGCAATTATTGATTCTACATATAGTAGAGATGCTATTTCTATTATGAGATATCAATTGTTAAAGACATTATACTATATTTTACTGAATGGATCACCATCATGCATTGAAAAATACACAATTTCAATGATTCAATATTTGAATTTTAATGCTAGATATGAAAAGAAGTACTCCATTCTATGTATCCAAGAATTATTCGTCTCATTGTTTGGTAAAAAGGATAAATACTACAATCTTAATATACCAAGTTACGAAAACATGAAACCAGTGTTTATCAATGATGAATATGATGTTATTTCAAATAATGATGTGAAAAAGTCTAATGGCCTGTTCGACAAGATTTTTGTTGAAGGTAAAAAGTATTCTATCTATGCTAGAAGAGCAATGAATAGCGATTTGAATTCTAATAGAGTTAGAACTAGAAGTCTGCTAGTTCCTTATGGTGAATCTACTTCTCCTTCTAAAAATACAACTGGAACGACTGGTGGCGGTTCAAATACACCTTCTACCAAGAAGGCATTCAGTTATGATTCTCAATTTTTAAATACTGGTAAAACATATAGACAAATATTGGGAATGTTCAATCCTGTAGTGATTGGTTTAACAAAATATTTCAAACACACTCATGACCGATCATTACAAAATGTGGTTTTATTCATGTTAATTAGAATGATTTGCATTGGAATAGATTTTAGTCAATTGGATAAGGATTCAACATTCATCAAGTTTATTTTTAATCAATTAGAAAAGTTTGACGAACCTGACTTTGTTTTATATCAAATTATGGACTTTTTGTCTGTTTTATTGTTTATTGTCAAATACCAACATTTCCCTGAGAATCCATTTGATTCTATTGTAAAATTAGTTCAATCAACATTCAATAGCTCACAGTTTGAAAAGAACGGAAATTCAATTTTAAAGTCAATTTCACCTGTAATGATAAGAGGTTTCTTATGTGAAATCAGAACTGAAAAAGTTGAAAAGAGTTATGGTAACTTGATGCTGAATGAATTTTTGAAAAATGTAACCTTACCAGAATGTCAATCTGTATTGACATTGCTATTAAGAAATGTTCATCATTCAACTTTAACATGTTCAAACACCAATAATACTACTGGTAATGCCTCATCAAGTAGCAATAGCAACAATACATCATCAAAGGATGCAACATCACTTCCGTGGATTGAATTATCAAATTCTATTCTTAAAGAATGGGTTGTTAAACATAATTTACAGGTGGATGTAGATTGGAATTTAATATCAAACATTTCTAACCATTTCCAAACAAATAACATTGCTACCACTTATTATAATCACACTGTAAATTCAAATAGTGGAGGTTTAACATCAAACTCATCTGCTTCAAATGGAAATCAATCTATGAATTTGAAATCCAATCTTGTTTTCCAAAATAGATGTAAAAAAGAAAATGTTCAATATGAGTTTAATAATTGTGAATTTATAATTGAACTTTCTAAAATATTTTATTTCATTGATGCATTGTACATTAATATTAATGACCAAGCAAAGATTGTAACTCACTTGATAGATTCTTTTGATGAACATTTAGATCAAAATTCTCTTGAAAAACAAGTTCAAACACCTTCCTCAGTTCAACATAAGGAAAATATGAACGAAAAGTTGAGTGTTATTAATAGCTTGCTAAAGTCCTTGATATTTATGAAACTCTTGAATAGAATTGATAAGAAACAAGCTAACGTGCAAGAAAATTTAAAGAATCTTGAAAGGTTTTTGCAATCAATTTCAAATGCATTGAATTTATATTTGAATCATAGAGACACTTCCTCGATTATCGTAATCAAGTATTTAACTTGTGAAATGTTGACTGTCACAATAGAATTACAAGAGAGATTGTATATCAAGTTGTTGACACACGAACATGTACGACAATCTGATCATTTGAATTCCATTTTCCATAATCAAATTTTGCACATTTTGAAATTATTTAATATTAACTACCTCAAACATTATGATTTTACAATTTATACTTTGTTGTTCTCACTTTTGCTTGCTCATTCAAAGGTAGAAAAACAATTTGGAGTTTCATTCTTGAATTATTTATATGGTTTTTATCACTCTAATATTTATAACTTTAATATTTTGAATAATACCCAATTATTATTAGGCATTAATGAAAGTATTGCATCCGATGAGAATAATTTAACATATCATGAATTTGTAATTCAACAAAAATCAGTTTTCCTCAGTATGATCAACATAATTGTAAATTATCAAGATAATATCATTGAATTATTCAAACAATGCGAAATTAATAATCTATCCAATCGTATTTGGAAAGAAATATTCAATCACTTTGATGAGCCATTAATAGAAAAGTTTTTGGAAAAGTTCTGTAGAGATATTTGTTGTGAAAATGATCTAGTCGGATTATTTGACGAATTGAATGATAAATTCAAATCCCAACTACATTTAAACGATTTGAGAATTCTATTTAAGTTTATTAAGAATAATATTAAAAAAGAACATTTAATTTGGTTGCATCCTAAGATTGTCAACCAATTGGAAGAAAGATTAAAGATTGAAACTACATTTATGAAAAGAAAAGTTATATCTGATATGATTAAGTATATTAATTCAAATATTGAAAAGCCAAATGAAAATTCAAAATTAAACCAAGAATTCAAAAACTTGGATTTAATTTTAGAAAAGGTTAAAAATGAAATGTTTAAGAATCAAAATGAAATTCCTCCATCAAAATTAGTTAATAACTTTTTCACCTATAACAATTTAGTTTCTAATCCATTAGTAATTTCAAACTTCTTAATTGAATATATGGATAAAAATGAACTTAAATATGTTCCTAGTATAGTTAGCAATTTAAATATTCAATCAATTAACAACATTCTAGTACATTTCAAAGATAACGTTGAATTTATAACATCATTATTAATTCATTTGAAATCTAAAGAACAAATTTTACCTTTTATTGAATTTACGTTCAATGAATTGAATAATATTCCATATAACTTTACAAGTTATTTGAAATTATCTAATTTATTATCAAAGTTACTATCAAAATGTAGATCATCAAATGATTTAATTCAATTATATGATAAGAATATGGTTATTAATTTTACAATTAATTTTATTGAATTATTTTATTTGGAGAGAATTCAAAAACATAATGTTGATATTACAGATGTTGATTATATTTTATCGTTAATTTTACAAATTTTGTATTCGTTTGGTAATTCTATTGAATATTATTCTGAAAATTTATTATTAATTTTAAATAATCCAGAAATAGATTTAAATTTGAATACTAATAATACTTCATCTAATACTACCAAAACTACTACAAGTACTGTGGAAGAAACTAAGAATACTACTCTATTATTAATGGAAGATGATTATGTTGATAGCTTTGCAACAACAACAGAGGAACCAACTGAACAAGAACCACAACAAGAAGATCAATCACCTAACAAGGAGACTAACAATTCTATTTTAGAAATGAATGAAGATGAAAGAAGGGTACTAAAATTCATCAAATTATCATGTCAATTAATAATTGATGCCACAAGCGTTTCATCACAATCCATCAATTACAATAAGGATATTAATATTTTGAAATATTTAAAGTTGATTCTATTCAAAACTTTCCAATTATATCCAAATATGCAAGCTTCTAATGAGGATAGTGATATTTATGGAAGTGTTGGAAATACTACATCCTTGTACGGATTTTCTATTGGTAATAGAATACCATTTATTTCATATCATCATTTGAAGTTGATTAGATCTATTGGTTTGGAGCTTTCTAAATGTTTTATTAATTTAGTATATGATCCATATTTACCAAACATGGAAACACAATATTTCCCTAGAATTGATATAGAACAAGTTCAAACGTTAATTTTCATGATACAAGAAATAGGTTGCAATGAAGAAATATTTAAGCAATTGTTCGAAATGAGTTTTGATTTGCTCAAGATGGAAATTACTCAACCATTTGATGAAATTCATGTTTTATTTATCAAATTGTTGACATGTATGATATGTAGAATGAATCAACCTCCGTCCCTATCCAATAACTTTTCATCCAATATATTATCATCATTTGATAACTTTGGAAATTCACTTCTTGGAATCCAACATGGTGGTAATAATTTGAACTCCATTTTGAACTCTGTCGAAAAGTACTTGTTAAAATCTACTGGTTCAACAAATAGTAGTGGTACTAGTGGTTCATTCACTGGTGGTATTGGAACATCAAATAATAGAAACAGTTTCAATGGAAGCTTTGGTAACATGAGTAATTTAATTGATAAGAATAGTAATACTACTAGACAGAGTATTAGTGTTGAGGAAATTTATTCCAAAGCACTTTTTAACAGCTTCATGTTATTTATTCATGATAGCATCCAAAAATTCAGTAAGAATAACTTGATGATTACAAAAGAATTGGTTAAATCACTCATTCTTATTATGGAAAACAACATTGTATTATTTGCTGTTAATAATGGTACTTATTCAGTTCAATGGTTGCACGAATTATTTAAAAACATTTATAAGGAATGTAATTTATACGAAGATTGGATATTAGGACAATATGCTCTATATGGTTTGAGCAAAACTTATGCCATTCTACATTCAAATAATGCCAAAGATGTCAATGAAGATTTTATCATCAAAACAATGGAATCATCACTTGTTAACAATCATTTGAAACAATCTGCATTACAATCAGTTTTATCATTTATTGAATGTGGAAATAGAAATATTGTATTGAAATTACTTCCTTATTTAGCAAGCAATATTCAAACATGGTTATTAGATAAGGAACAAACTGTTTATAATCAATTATTATTGATGAAAATGGTAACTCAAATGGTACAACAATATCCTGAAGCATCTGTTCACCAATTGACCAAAAAGACTATGGAATCTTTATTCAATTTATCAGATGATATTGACGCTCCTTTAACTATTGTCGTCACCATCTTTAAATCTTTACAAAAATTATTAATTAATTATTCACTTTCTCAATTTGAAAGATCTTTAATTGAAGCCATGACAAGTATTAAACAATCTACAATGATCACCAGAAATGATAATACCAATGCAGTAACTAATAGGAATGATGCTGGAATGATGAACAAAATTGTTACTCCGTTCAAGAAGATGACCATTGATACTTCAACATTTAGTAATTTCACACAAATGTTAGCTCAAAATAAGACCATGTTAATTAATAGAAAGTCTACTGCTGGTTCTATGCAATCGAGCAGTAATACTGCGACTGTTAATACATCCAGTTCAACTTTACCTTCTAATAAGACAAATAATAGTTCTAGAATTAGTACTGAGAAACCTTCAATTACAGCCACAAGTAATAATATCAGTATTACTGTTGGAAGTGGTATTCCTAATTCTACTACCAACACTGCATCATCTTCTGTAGCACCAACAAGTAATAACAATACAGCAACCACCAAGATGAAACAATTCATGAGTTTCTTCACAACTAAGAAGCAAACGACTCCTCCAACGAGTTCTACGACAACTACCACTCCTGCCGTTAACCAACCATCATTAACTCCACCAACTAATCCTACTTCTGGCTCATTAACATCATCTCCAAGTCTTTCATCACTTCCAATGAGTAGAAGTATGAGCATGACATCGATTGTATCAAGTATGGCAAGATCAAGTGAAAAATTACAAACTCTCTCACAGACAAGAAGAGTTTTATTACTTGGATTAATGTCAACTTCAATGTATACATCATCATGCTCAACACAACAACAATTAGATTCACAAAGAGAACGTGCTAAAGTTAATATTTTACATTTAATTGAACAATTCCACGATGGTGAAATTGATAGAGAAGGTGAAATTATTTTAAGATTTATTCCACAATTAATGGTAGATTTCTTTGACAATGAGCAAATATTACCATTATTATATAACGAATTTTTGAGCTCTAAAACCCATCCACTGCTGTTATCATTACTTTTATCACTTCACATGCCACATTCTTTGAATGATAGAAAAGTGTTTGAAAATTGGATCACAATGAGTATGCAAACGCTTTGTTTGAAACAACCAACATGTGGAGCATTGTGGGCATTAATGTGCTTGTTTATTAGTGTTTGTATTGGTGAATTTGACCATCACTATGCAACACTAGTTTACTTTGGATCAAATTATGGACTTGTACATGAATGGAATGATATCTCTTCACATGCTTTCCTTTTATATGGATTAATATTTTATAATTATTTATCAAAACATGAAATGGATGGTGCCATTAATGTTTTTAAGAATGTTGTTCTTCCTCAATTGATTCAAGATTCAAAAGATCAATTAATTTATGTTAAATTATTGAAATCTTTACTATTTTTGATTAATTCAAACAATGGAGCAACTTTACAAACCAAGTCACTTGAGGATTTCTTTTAAATAAAGAATTTGTGTTTGCTTTTTTTCTTGGGCATAGATTAATTTTCCAAATAACAAACACAAACAACACTCAATTCATAGAAGAAAATTACAAAATATTTATGCACCAAATAGAAAGAACAAGCTTTAGAATTTGAAATTTCAAAAGAAAATGATTTTGGTGCTTCGTTTATGTCTTTTTCAAAATCAATTAGAGATTTATTTTAATCCTTTGTTAACTTTCTTTGTATTTATAAAATCTCCTTTAAAATTTCTTCTTAATAATCAACCTACCCTTCTTATAAATTTAATCTCTTTTAACAAACCAGCGTCCATTATTAAGAATCATTTTTTCAAAACAGACCCATATGAAAAACACAAATGGTTTGCTTATTCTTTGTTTTCCCCTGTTATTTTCGAGAAAATATATATTTTAGTTGGAATGTAGTTTAAGAAACCGTTAGAATAGAATTATGGTTCTATTGTGTTATTGGTAAAATAAAACGGTAATACTAAGGTTTGAAAAATAAGATCAAACTTGATCAATGAACAAACTTTCAAAGACGAATAAATTTAGTCTCTTCATAATAAGTTTGATCGTAAAGATTGATAAATATTTCTTCATTTCCAAGACCAAACATTCTGTGGCCTAATATATTTGGTGGTTCAGTTAATAATTAGTTACAAAAACAATAATTTGCACTGAAATATATTGTAAATCCATTTTAATAACATAAAACCAATAATGGTGCATTTTGGATTTAGATTTTTTCCCAATTTGTTATTTCATTCAAAAAGAAAATGCAAAAACATTCATTGGTCAACACTTTTGATAAATTATTATTCAAGTTTAATGGTTGTTTTATATTGGATTGTCAGGAAATTCTTTTAATTCATAATAACAGTACAAAATTATTGTCCTACCAAAATACTACAACAAGTAACAATTATCAAATCCGAAAGAAAGTAGTTATTGATTTTCCAAATAACAAACACTCAATTAATAGAAGACAAAATGAAAGAAATAATTTTCCAACAAATAACTGTAACACTTTATCATCAAGTAACCTGTTGCTTCTGAGTATTCAAAGATATCAGAGAATAGGAAATGATGAACGATTGAAAATAATTATTCAACATACATATACTAAGATGAATGATTGTGGTGTATGTTATTATCGAAAAAGAAACCAAGTTCATCAATTAATGATTCATGTAATTGAATTATTGTATTTGGTTTTAAAATTACAACCCAATACCAACCTCTACAAACATTATTGTTCATTGATAATGCTAAATCCATTCTCGCTTCAAAAGTCAAATTTGAATAGTCATTAATATAATAGCTTCGATGTTTCATTCTGATTTTTTCAAATTCTATTTTATTACTGATAATACAGGATCACAATACACAAGTTTACCTAATTTTTGTAAATGGAAAGGTAAAAAATTAAGAAAATAGTTTTTTGTGTTCATGTTTTTCATAAATTAATAATTACTTTTCAACGTTTCAGTTTTCTTTTTATTTTTACTTTAGTTTTTTCGAATGTCTTTTCCAGTTTAGATGAAGATTTATTTTGTACAAATTGGGAACTCTTATTGTAAAAAGAAACTCAATTCTATGTTTCGTGTTTAGATTAAGACTGAGTTATTATGTTCAAATGTGGAACTAAAAAACACAACAATCCTGCATAGGTATGAAATTACTTTCTTCTGGAGAAGAAATAAAAGTTCCAGGATTGTAAAGAGGATAAAAGATTATTCGTATATTCTTATTGAATTATATTGTTGCTCAGTAATATACAATAATCTTAGATAATCCACTTCTTTCATCAAAATCCATATGGATTCAAAATATTCAAAACATGCAACCACAACCAGTTTCCATCGATTTATATATTCCCAATATCATTGACTTTCATTTAAAAAAAAGCAAGTTTGGGATTGAAAAAGAAAATGCAAAAACATTCATTGGTTAACACTTTTGATAAATTATTCAAGTTTAACTTGAATATTTTTATATTGGATTGTCAGGAAATTCCATTAATTCATAATAATAATACAACATTATTTTCTTACAATAATATTACAAAAACAAACAATTATCAAATCCGAGGGGATGGAAAATCCTCGATCCAAATCCCACGCTTTGCAGATGGATTGTTGGATCCATCCGCAAAGCCAAAATATCGTGTGATGTTGTGGATCCTGTTTGGCGGAGGAGCCGCGTGGGATTTGGATGGCGGATTTTCCATCCCCTCGTGTAAAGGAAATTCCTTACAAACTCTCCAATACTATTTACTATTGGTGGGATCTAATAAAATTCTTTTTTTTAAATAATTTGGATTCTTTAAAAGAAAATTCAATTTTGCAAAGTTAATTATTATTAATTAATTTATTATATTATACTATACACTTGTAAATAAGGTGAATAAAAACTCAATAATTCAAAACATTGACAAATAAACATGTGAAACCTTTCTACAAACTATATTCATTGAAATTTTCAATTTATTTCTAATATTTACAACTTAATCTTCATGAACTTCAACAGTAGACAGTGGTCTATCAACTCTCTCCTCAGTTCTTTCATTAATATTCTCCTCTTGAACCAATCTCAATTCATAATAATAATTTCTCACTCCCCAAATAAAATTAAACAATAAAAACACAGTAACCAATGCAGTATACTCATATCTAATACTCTTATAATAGAAAGTTTCAACAATGTAATGAGTAATTGAAATACAATCAGCAAATAGAGTGTAACCAGTGAGCATTCTATTCTTCTCAATACTTGCAGTATAAAGATTCATAAAACCAACAATAAAACCCAAGATTGCAGCTGATCTTTGTAAATGATCATTTCTTCCTTGACGTGAAAATCCAAAGAAAATGTCAGCATGTAAAACACTTGTCAATGTGTCAACATAGAGAAGTGTTGCATTGGCAATGAATGCTAATCCAATAATAAATAAAGAAGTGTTGAAAATTCTCCTTCCTGGAAAGTACATTTGCCTCAAACCCTTTTTCAATTTGTTTCTTTCATCTGATTGTTCAACATTAATTTGTTTATCAGAAATTGACTTGTTTAGACTGCTACTACCACTTGTTCTTTGATCAATAAACTTGGATTCTACCATTTTCTTTTCTGTTTGTTATCAATGGAAGTTTATTGAAAATGGTCAATTTATCAATTATAATTATTTAAACAATTTCCTTTTAGAGTTTTTGAACAAATTGGAAATTGTCTATTAAAGGAATTGATGATTTTATTTAATGCTCCTCTTTTTCAAGTATTTGTGAGCGTGATTAACAATTTGAGTTCTCGATCTTGTCTTGACATATAACTTGCTAATGAGTTTGTAATTTTCACCCACTTGAGATAATCCCAATAGAAATTGTTTATGCTCTTCTGCATTCCATGGACCTAAATTTGAATCTTCTTCTTTAGTTGTGTATGTTGTTTTCTTAATTCTATAATCTTGCTTGGCAATAAGGTTTGACATTGTCGCTTTTTCTTTCTGTTGCTTTTTACTACTATTTGATTGTTTGTTGGATTTTACAAAGAGTGATGGAGCTGTTTGGGATGTGGAATTGTGCGATTTGTTTTTAGAAATCGATTGATTGATTTACCACATTGACTTGTTGTTGGTATTTGAAATTATTTACATTAAGATGGAAAGGTGCTGAGGTGTGGTGTACATGATGATGTGTTTGTTGAGAAGATGCTCTATTGAGATATTGAAGAAGAAGTGGACAATTTTTGATGATAGGTTGTGGAAGTACGAGTATATGTGTATCATTGTTCATGTTATTCAACACTGATTGGATGGAGGGTAGTTTTTCAATAGTACATGAATTGGACATGCTGCTAATATTGGTTTGATTGAGGCGATTCGATGGATGTACCACATGCAAGCAACATGAATCATGTAAACAAGGATCTTGTTGAGGATGAAAAGGATTCTGAACTGAGGATGTATATTGAACAGTATGTAGAAATGGAACCCTAGCAGAATCAGCTCCCTCACTATTTTTCATTGCTATTAATCAGGTCAAATATTGTTGTTTTTTCTCTAATCATTCAAGATCATTCAAAACACCAACCCAAGTCTCTGTAAATCCTCATTGGTTGGCCGCTTAATTGTTAACAAATAATAAGCTAATGATTGGATTGTGAACCCGGTACCAACACTAAATTGTCCAGATAAGGTGTTTGGTGGACAAATGTAAAAGTTTGATCCTACAAACATTTAATTTCAAGTAAATACATTTTTCCTAATAAGCAATTACTGAAAATTAAGGAGGCAGAGAATCGTTTTTATGGCGTTTTTAAAATTGTAGTCGTAAATGATAACAAGCGCTGATCTTTAAAGTTTGAGTCTTACTAAAATCCAAAGCACATTTTGAGGTCAACCAAGGTCATCATTCCAATTTCCTAATTTGTCCTCTTGAACAATACAAAATGAAAACGATTATTTATTTAATGCTGTCGTCTTCACTTATTCAACGTTGTAACATTACCAATCGATTATCATCGATTTATTATGATGATTTTTCATATCTCTCGGAGTAAGTTTGTAACTAATCACACATTCATGCTTTTTTGATTTTTTAAATTTGATGAGACATTTTAAAAGAAAAATGCGACCTCACCAGCCTCCCACACATCTTCAAATTCCTTCCCAGCACACCCATCATCATCAACCCCAACAACAACAATATACCACCTCCTCGCTCAATGTTCAACATCCATCATCAACCAGTAGTAGTAGTAGTGGGCATCATATGGATCGCATTGTTTCTCCGTCAAGTCCTCGAGTTAATACAAACAAACCAACCTTTTCTACTTCCTCCTCTGCCTCCAATCTTCAACAAGCCTTTTCATCATCCAATAATAACAATAATAATAACAATATAAATATTTCCTTTGAAAATGTTCAAGAGGAAATTATTACAGTACCACTCTCACAAGAATTAATTCAAGTCTATCAGAAACAACTCTTTGAATGTATACAAAAATTAAAACAAACACACACCGATGGTAAAGATAAAGCCAAATCACTTGAACAAATTATTTATTTAGCATGTACATTAAAATCTGATTTTACTATGGCTCTCTTTGGAGAGTATAACAAGTCAACAAACAATCAGCAACAACAAAATGATAAAACAACCTCATCCTCTTCTGCTAGTTCTACTATGAATGGTGCCAATAATAATTCATCAACAACAACAGGACAATGGACCTACTCCCCACAATTAGATTTATTTATTAAATGTATGAGATATTTGTTATTACATAGAAGTTCATATATTAGATCTCTAACAGTAAGATGTATGAGATATATAATACAAAATGATCCTTGCAATTTTCCATTTGAATTATTATGGACAAAATATAATTGTCACTTGTTAATATTTAAAATGATGTTAAATGATACAGATAGAGAAAAGATTCAAGTATTGGAATTAATTAGAACTCTATGTAACAATTTTGTAAAAAGAAAGCAATCAAAACAATCCTATTTTGCACCTCCTCAACATGAAATTCAAATACCCTTCTTATTTATGAAGGGAATTGTTCACTTTTTAAGTTATATTGATGGAACTCTATTACAAATGGAGCAACAACAACCTCAACTGCAACAACAACAATTAAACTCTCGATCAACAACTGCAACAACAACTGCAACTGCAGGACAAGGTGCCAACAATGGAAACACATCAACTGCAGGTAATAATAGTAATACTAATACAGCCACAACTAATAATTTAAGTAGTAGTGCAAATGATCAAAAGAAACAATACTTTTTAGAATCATATAAATCAGTTTGTATTGAAATATTGAGAGATAGTTTAATTCATGATGAAAGTTTATGTAGTACAATTATCAAATGTGGTGGATTTAAATATCTTGTTGAATTATTGTTAAATAACAAATTTTCAACTTATCATAACAGTATTCTATCAAGTATTTTATTTATTTGTGATAGATATAAAACTAGAAAGTTTATGAAAAAAGGTTTATTACAATTATTATATTTAATTTCACCTTTTACAAATTACAGTCAATTATATCAACCACTTTTAGATGCTATTAATAATGCCAAAGTAACAAATCCAAACTTGGTACAACAATTAACAAATGATCTAAATCAATTAGTATTAGAATTAGAAAGAAGTAAAAATATTATACTCTTTTTAATGAGATCATGGACTGGTTTATTTATAGTCAACCAAGACAATATTAATATTTTAGGTACCTTATCAAACTTGTTAAAATCACCAAATAGAACACAGTTGAAACATTTAATATTGGATTTATATATTGAAATTTTAAAACAAAGTGCACCTAGCAAGTATCATTATTTAATTCCTCCAGTTTTTAGTGAATGCGAAAGAAAATCCAAGTCATCTACTTCTACCAATGCATCTGGTACAACAGGTAGTGGTACCACTACTAGTGTACCTAATGGTGCTGGAGGTACAACAACAAGTGGTGCTGGAGGTGGTACCGCTATTGGTTCATCAAGTTCTGCTTTAAATACTAGTACAAGTGCTATACTCTCAACTTCAGCAGCTTCATCAATTGTACATGGTGGATTTAGTAATGATGTAACATTTTATGCAGATCACTCAGGAGATGAAGATCGTGTTGTGAATATTTGTTTTGTTTTCTTGTCAATGACAATTTTAACATTAATTGACAGTGGATTGATAGATTCTTTATTATATTTATCAAAACAATCAATGATTAATAACAAGAAAAAACAAACTAAAAATCTAGATCCAAAAGATAAATTGAATATCAACGATGATGACGACGAAGATAAAAGTGAAAGAGCGTTTATTAGTTTCAGAGCAAGTCAATTATTACAATCAGTTTTATTATTTAGTGACATGTTATTGAATAAGAGAACATGTTTAAATATGCAAGATAGATTTGATACAGAAATTGCTAACTTTTTACTTTCTATTACTAAGAGTAATTTGTACAGTTACAAAACATTGAGCATGTTATCTGCATTTTATCAACAATCTTTCCAATCTTCAAATGTGACTGGAGGTTCAATTCATGTTGATCAAGCAATGATTCAAGCTCCAGCTAATTTAAGTGTTTTATCTGATAGCACTCCAGCATCATCAGACTCTATTGGAGATAGATTCTCTAAATTTAGTACAACAAATATTCCAACATTTTATATCAGAACTCAAATTGATAGTGATATGGATGATCAATCATTTAATCAATTGATTAAAGAGTCTAATGTACTTGTGACCAAAGACCCAAAGAGATGGAATTGGGAAAAGATTTATTGTTTAATATTTGGTCCATTGAGAGTTGCTCATAGATTGAAAGAAGTTACAACAAAATCACAAAAATTGCTAAAAAGAATACTCTCCTACTTTAAACCTTACAAGAGAGCTTTTAGTGACTTGAAATATCAAGAAAGTAATTTTGGTTATACAAAATTATGTAATGAATTGTTGTACAATTTACTTCACATGGATGAAAGTGGTATTGAAATTATTAGAGAATGTAAAATTATTAAGCAATTCTATGAAGTATTGGAAATTGAAGTTAGAGTTGGTAAAACAACAAGTGTTGGAGGTAGAAATGATCCAAAACCAATTGACTCTGAAAAGAGATTATTGAGTGAAGAGCGAGTACAAAAATACATGGTTAGAGATTACTTTACAATCATTGGATTGATGAGTAGTACAATCAAAGGAAAAGAATTATTGGAAGAAGAGAAAATATTTGATGTTCTCAAGGATTTAACAACTAGAAGAGATGATATTTCACAATTGATTATCAAACATTTAGATTATACAAGACCATTCTCTGATAGAGCAAGAGAAATATTAAAAGAAGCAATGATGAATGGTTCAAATATTATCAGATATATTAGTACATTATTTATTAGACATTTAATTAGACAATCTCAAACCTATCCAAATAATTTCCATGCATGGGGTGTCCCTCTATTGACAAGCAAATTATATGATGATTGGGAAAAGGTTAAATTTTCTGCCATTTCAATTTTGAGTGAAGTTTGTTGTATGAACATGTCTTCAAATTCGAGTAGTGCTGGTGATTCATCCTCAACATCAGATTTTGAATACGATGATTCAGCAACATCCATGCTCTCATCACCAAGAGTTTCAAGTGGAAGTAATGAAAATTTACTTGCATTCGTATCACAGAACATTTCACGTGACGTGATGGAGAGCGTCATGAGAGAGGGACGTGATGGAATGAATTTACTCTTGAAAATGACAAGTTGTAGAGAAGGTATTGATTATCTTTCACATGATAGTATTAGATTATTACAAGAATTAGTTGAAGATTGGTTTGAACGTGAGTCTTATCAATACTTACAACAAGTTGAATATGGTTTAAATAGATTTTATAATATGAATCAATCTGCTCCATCCAATACTAGCTATTCTCCAAGTTCAACAACTGGTCACACCACAATTGGAGGATCGCAATTAGTTGTCGGATCTTTATCACCATCTGGATTTAGAGAAACTGGAATGGCATCACCAACATTTAGGTCATCCAATCAAGCACAATTCCAAAGCTTGAGTGGGTCATATGACTATGCTAAACATGGTGTAATTTTACAAAGTAATTTATATGGTGAATTATGTCATACACTAGAAGGATGTACAATTTTAACAAATGACAAACATAGAACATTACATTGTTTGTGTATGAATTTATTGAATGTTTATCAATCTGTTTTAACATATCACAATAATATTGCTAATAGATTATCAAATAGTAACGACAGCAATATTGAACCACAAATTGAACAAATTGTTGAATTGTGGTCATTAGCATTCTGCTGTAGTACAAATACAGGATATGAATATTGTAACAGATATATTCAACAAGTTATTATTGGATATGAAAAGAATCAAAATGAATCATTCCAAACTGCAGGTGATGAACAATTTACTGTTGTTCAATATTTTGTTTACATTGCTTTACATAGTAAGGACATTTCATTAAGAGGTACAACATTATACTTGTTGGGTATTTTATCTAAATGTAGTTTAGCTAGAAAAGATTTATTCGAAATTGGATTTGAATGTTCATATCGTTATGCTATTTCAATTCCAAGAGATAGAAAGAGTTTCTTTACCATTATTACTGATAATTCATCTTCTAATGAATCAACAGGTAAAAATAACACTTCTTCAACAAGTAATCATCACCATCATCGTAAGGATGATTTTGATGAAGATGATTACTTATTAACATCAATTTTGAAAGAGTCACCAAAGAATGCAGATTTGATCAAGGATCTTGTATCAAATGTAACAAAAATTGCAAATCCAGTTCATGAGCAACAATCATCAACAAATTTGCAAAATCTCAAGACAAATATTGCACGAGTTTTGACAAATAATGAGAAATCTAAATTAATTTATTACTTTTTAGGAAATCATTTCACCCACTGCAAATACAAATGGAAGATTATCAAGTTTGTAATTAATGACCTTTTGGGTGGTAATAGTAGCATGCTTTGTTCATCTATTGCAACATCAAACGATTCTGCATTCCCTTCATTTGATCCAAATGTTGAAGATGAACTCTATGTTATGAATACTCATTTATTGTGGTTAGATACTGAAACAGATTTGAAAATTAACAAATTACAACAACAATAAATGTTAATGAATGAATTTATTTACATGTTGTTGTTATTTAACTACTACTCGCTATTGAGATATTCTAACGTATTGCTCATTTCTTGTAAAATAGACATCATATGAAAATCAATTTCCGAAAGATTCACATTAAATACATGAATATCAGATGGTAAACGTGTATAGAATGCAACATCCTATATTTGAGTAGTTACTCATCGATTTAAATTTCAAAAAACAAACTACTTACATATCCAATTTCTAAACTATAGAGTGAAAATATTGTTAAGGACCCTTTTATATGCGTCGAGTAATAAGCACTTGTTTTGTCATTATTAAGATTCCTTGAAAATTGCAAAACTGATGATTTTAAATGTTGGGTATAGTGTATAAGAGTTTCATTATCTACAGATCCTGTCGTTAGTGGTGATGTTTCGGAATGATATCTTTAATATAATTAATATTGTTGTTCATTAACCTCCTCCAACTCAACTATTAAACACATACATTATTTGTTCTTTTGAATTTACAATAAATAATTCAATTTTTGCGTTATTTAAAAACAATTCAATAATTTCCTTTTCCAATCGATGTATTTCCTTCTTGGCAGCACTATTTAATTTTACTACTTGAGGTCCACGTCCTCCGAATAATCCACAAGGAAAACAACCCATCCAATTACTTTTCCTCAATAAATTACGAAGTAATAGAAATATTAAACCAGTGAGTGGGACTGTTTGGTCAATTTTTTTTGTAGTTGTGTGTTGTTGGGATAGTCGTTAGAAGTTTTTTTCCTGATGTGTTATGAACTTTGAGATTTAAGGCTAGTTTCCTTAATTTTAATTTCAATTAAAAAATTACATAATAATTAGTAGAAGCAGAGTGTTGTTTTATCCATTGAATTCGAGTTTTGGAAGGAAAACGTTTCGCGCCAATTTTAAATTTTAACTTCAAAAAAAAATAACGAATTTGCTTCTGGTTAGGAACTTGAAGCGTAATCTCGAATTATCATCATCAATAAGAAGAAGAAGAAAGAAAAATGGTTCTCTGGTTAGATAAACATCGTCCAATGTCATTGGAAAAGATGCAAATCCACAAAGAAGTCTCTGAACAATTAATGAATATAACCAAGAGTGGAGATTTTCCTCATCTTTTAATTCATGGACCATCAGGAGCAGGTAAAAAGACTAGAATACAAGCACTCCTTCGTGAAATATATAACAACAAGATTGACAAAGTTAAATTAGAAAATAAGGATGTTTCTGTAGGATCGGATGGATCAAAGACTATCACAGTGACTGCACTTTCTAGTGGATATCATTTAGAAATTACACCAAGTGATAGTGGATATTATGATAAATATGTTGTTGCTAATATGATCAAGGAAGTAGCAGAGACTGATTCTGTTGATTTTCTCTCTACTGGTAGTAGTGCTTCATCACATTTAAAAGTTATTGTTTTACATGAAGTTGATAGTTTAACAAGAGAAGCTCAACAAGCCTTGAGAAGAATTATGGAAAAGTATTCGAAATCATGTCGTTTAATTTTATGTGCCAATTCAACTTCAAAGATTATTCCACCAATTAGAAGTAGATGTATGGCTGTTAGAATACCAGCTCCTTCTGATGAAGAAATTTCAACAGTTTTACAATTTGTTGCCAAGAAGGAAAATATCAAACTCGTTCCAGAAATTACACAACAAATTTGTGAAAAATGTGATGGTAATATGAGAAGAGCTCTATTAATGCTAGAAAGTGCCAAAGTAGAACAATATCCATTCACAAAAGATCAACAAGTTAAATTACCTGGTTGGGAGAAATTTGTTGAGGAAATTGCTAAATCTATTATTGCTGATCAAACACCACAAACTCTTTTGAAAATTAGAGATGATTTCTTCCTTTTATTAACAAATTGTATAGCTCCAGATATTATTTTCAAGACTTTATTATTGAAATTATTGGATTTATTAGATGGTGAACAAGCACATCAAGTTATTGAATTGGCTGCTAAATTTGAACATAGAATGAAATGTGGTTCAAAACCTATTTTCCATCTTGAAGCATTTGTTGCCTCTGTAATGAGTCTTTGTCAATCCATGTTTAGTTTTTAATTTATTTCAATAAATCATTAATATTTATTCAAATTTCATAACGAGCAAGAAACGCGCCAAAATCCTTCCACCAAAAAGTCGAAATGAAAATATTAAAAAAATATGAAGAAAACAAGTCCAGCATCAAGTAATTCAAAAGTGCAAAGCAAACTCTCCTTCAAAAAGCCGACCCCAACTTCCTCTACGGAAGAAAAGAAAATTCCAACACCCAATGATAAGAATAATGTAATAGTTTTAGAGGATGATGAATTTGATGATATTGATTTTAGTGACGTTATTAGTGATAAATCTCCACCACCACCACCAATGAGTTCATCACAACAAGGAGGTTCATCCCAAACATTTATCATACCAAAGAATCACTCGGTGAAACCTGCTCTTAAATTATCACAACCTTCGGGATCCCGAAGTAATAATAATACTTTAAAATCATCAGAAGCCTCTTCTTTAACAATAGAATCCTTCAATATTGACAGTGATGAAGATATTGAAAAATCAATGCACTTGACTTTGAAAAAGTATTTTAAATTGGAAGAATTTCGTCCAAATCAATTTGAAATTATTTTCAATCTTGTTAAAAACAAACAAGATACACTTGTCATATTACCTACTGGTGGTGGTAAAAGTTTATGTTATCAATTACCTTCATTAATTTTACCTGGTGTTACTCTTGTTGTTTCTCCATTGATTTCTTTAATGCACAATCAAGTACAAGCACTTGATCATTTATCAATTCCTTCAAATTATTGGAATTCAAGTCAGAAAAAGTCAGAAATTCAAAAAATTCAATCAGATTTAGAATCTGGAAATCCAAATTACAAACTTTTATATGTAACACCTGAATTATTAACAAGTAATCAAACATTTCAATCTATAATGAGATTATTAGCGAGTAGAGATCAATTATCTTTAATAGCTATCGATGAATCACATTGTATTTCATCATGGTAAGTAGTAATAGTTGTGTTTAAATAATTTCAAACTCTTTTAGGGGACATGATTTTAGAAAATCATTCAGACAATTGAATTTCCTCAAAGATACATTTCCTCAAGTTCCAATTATTGCCTTAACTGCAACTGCAACTGAAAAAGTAAGATCAGATATTGTTGAAAGTCTGAAAATGAGAAATCCTAAATGCTTTATTACCTCATTCAACAGACCTAATATTTCATATGAAATTAGATATAAGGATATATTACATAATCCATATGAAGATTTACGTAATTTTTTAAATGAACATGCCCAAGAATGTGGTATTATTTATTGTAGAACTAGAAATCAAGTCGATGAACTTGTATTACAATTATCAATGGAAAAGGATAAAGGTGGTAAAGACTTGTTCTCATGTAAATCATATCATGCTGGATTGAAATTGAGCGAAAGAAAAACAGTTCAAACTGATTGGTTAGAAGGAAAAACTAAAATAATTGTTGGTACAATTGCTTATGGTATGGGTATTGATAAGAAGGATGTTAGATTTGTTGTAGTAAGTTTTTGTGAATTTTTCATTATCTTGAGTTTAGAACCTCTCACATTTTATTACCCAACTGCTTCTTTTTTTACATTTTAGCACTATGGTATGCCAAAATCATTAGAAGGATTTTATCAAGAGTCAGGAAGAGCTGGTAGAGATGGTAAAAAAGCTAAAAGTTTGCTCTATTATTGTAGTAGAGAAAAGAATTCAATTCAATTCTTAATTTCTAGAGAAGAAAAATTAACTCAGGATCGTATTCTTGCTGTTGAACAGGTAAGTAACTTCATATGATTGGGAGTTCATTCTACTTCTTTAGGGGTTTAATAAGGTTTGTGAAATGTGTGAAACTGCTTGTTGTAGAAGAAAATTTGTATTGGAATTCTTTGGTGAAAGTTATGATCCGGCAAAACCTCATGGAATCACAACTGTCACATCACCTATTAAATCTAAACAACAACAACAACCAAAACAATCCAATGTTAAGGCAACACTTAAATTATCAAAACCAAATACAACATTAGCACCATCAACACCACCTAAAAAGACATCTAATCAACCATCTAAAAGTGGTGTTATTGAAATAATTCCACAAATTAAGGGTGTTGAATATGTAGAAACTTGTTGTGATTATTGTGCAAACCCAAAGAAGAAGGCTGAGGAAATTAATAATGCATCATTTACTTATAATCCAAGAAGTGGAGGTGGTAGTGGTGGTGGTGGATTAGGCACCAAAATGGCAGATGAATTTATTGCTTCTGCAAGTGAATTCGACGATGCTATTGAAGAATTTCACGATGATGATTATGATGAATTTGATGGATTAGATATGGAAGAAGCAAGAAGATCAGAAGAACGTGATCAAAACTCATTCATTAATAGATATAGGAAACAAATGGGAATAACTGATAATTCAATGATAACTCGATCAAGTCATACACTCACAAAAACAAAACCAACTCCACAACAAGTGGAATTGAAACGAAAAAGAATGGAAGATAGTATTGATAATGTTTTAGATGCATTAGAAAAAGAAGAAAAGAAACAAAAGAGATCTTACAGTAAGAGTAAGAGTTCACTATTACCTTCCAAATCAAGTAGTTCCAACAATTTTGATTTGTCAAATAGTGGCGCTAGTGGTAGTGGTGGTGGTGGATTTGTTAAAGCAAGTACACTCCTTCCCACAACATCATCATATCGATCATCAGAGATGAGTAATCGATCCAAGACAACAACAAATAGACCAAAGAGCAATTTGGAACGATTCATGTCAAAGAAGTAATATAACATTGAGTTTCTATTAATTTGCAAGTTGTTGTTTTGAACAATTTCACAAATGAACCATCAATACACATCCACTTTCACAGTGTGACACTTTCTTATTAACATTTAAATGGAAAGTAAACAGGAAAGTATATCCATACTTTAAGGCAACTCTCTCTAAAATAGTCACATACAATTACTTGATTCAAACATCTATCAATTTTTTAATTACAATGTCTATGTCAATAATTTGCATCCGCCAATATTGGATGGATGTCAACGAATGGTGTCCACAATAGTATGAATTTAAAAAAGTCCATTTTTAATCAAATTCGATTCGTTCTCCATTTTCATTGCATTTTACATTATTCTGTAATGATCACTCAATTTTCAACTCTCAAAACGATGACATCTCTAAGCCTTCATTTCATATAAAATTACATAACAAGCATGCTGTGTCCTACTAATGAGAAGCAATGATGAAACATTTATACAAGAAGAAAAATGTCGTCATCTCTCCTCCATGTAATCAATACTAATCATTTTCAGCAGCTGCACAACAATGAAAACAATCAACAAGAAGCGAGTTGTACTAATAGTAATAGTAGTAGTAGTACTAATAATGGTAGTAGTAGTAGTTATTCAACTATTACATCAATGAGTGGTGGCGGTGCCAGTATGGAGTCTATTAAATTGTATCCTCATTTGATATCATGTAATGATGATTCCTCGTTCAATAATGAACATTTAGTGACTACATTCTTCCAAAATCTCTTCAAATAAGAAAGATGATACCTCATGATTCTGAATTCTTCAATTATCAATAAAATTAATTTAAATTAAAATCAAACAACTTTTATGTCATCTTTAAGTGCTGTTCGAGGTAATGGATTTTCATTGCATAATGAAAAAGCTTTTGAAAATATTGAGAAAATAGATGGTAAAATTGTTAGTGTGAAACTTTGTAACAGTTCATGTGGTTTCTGATTCAGTGAATAAAATGTAATTGGAAAGGGATGAGTTATGAGAAACTGAAATTGATTACATGATTTTACAAAAACAAGCTGATTGTATTCACTTCTCTGGTGCAATTACAAGAGTTGCCTATTTTCAAAAGAAACTCAGAGAATATGTTAGCCAAGAACGGTTACAACATATTAAGAAAGAGCTCACTCCCTACTTGAAAGATGAATTTTTAAACAAGCCAATTCCACATTGTCAATTTTTATGTGAAACCACTGGTGAGAGTGCTCTATTATCAGGAGCTGAAGAAATGTTAAATTCATCCCTTGAAAATGAATCAACAACAATAACATCACCTGTAGTAGTACCAATTATTTTCAGAGAGGCCAATGAATTGAACACTTTACCTGTTAGTTATTTAGAACAATTTGTTCCTGCCATGTTATATGAAGATGAATCAAAAGGTAAAAAGATTGAGAAAAAGATTGTACTGAGAGAATCATTACTTGATATGTATATCAAACAGGATACTGAAATATTTCTAATCAAATTCAGTCCTTTAATTGATACTAAAAAGATTACATCCATTAATTTTAATAATTTCACACAAGTTGGAATTATTGAATTTCTACGATTTACTAATTTAATTATTTGTTTTGATCATACTAAAATTCAAACATCAGTATTAGAATTTTTCATTAAATTAGAATTGGAAGAAGAACATTTAATTGTTAAAATTTACTATACAAAGAACAATTCCTTCTATAAGAGTGAAATTAGAATTGAAAAGAAGGGAAGAACTGAAAGAATTTCAATTAATGACTCTGCAGAACTCATATTTAAAACAAGAGAAGATGAATCAAGAACTTGGTACGGTGTATATTATGATACATTGAGTATTATCTCAGCATCTTCAAGTGTTTCAATTTCCAAGGAGATTATTGCACAACATGTTGGAAAACAAGTTGCCAAAGCATTGAAACCGGACAAGAAATTATTAACCATTCCAAGTACTCATCCAAAAGATGAGGAATTTGTGAAAAAACAATTGGCTAAATGTGCAGTTTGTAGAGAGACAACATATTACAAGACTAGATTTCCTATTTCATACAAGACACTTCCAAATTATAGGTCCTTATTTGATGATAGTTCAATTAATATTGGTCTTTGTTGTCCAAAATGTTACAATCGTTACAGAGAACTAAAGAAATGAACAAAGCTTTTAAAAACTTTTGGCTTGAAAAATAGGTTCATTATAAATACCATTTTAAAGATAGCTACTTAATAAGAACCTAATATTATACTATTTATTAAATTAAATTGATGATGATTGTGCAGTGTTGAATTTTCATGTTTTAGGATTTATCATTGGATGAAATAATTAATAACGATCATTCCCACATGAAAAATCAAGCTAAAAAACACTAAATATGGCTACCGATATCGAGATATGTGATATCGAGATGAAAGCACCTCATTACATCCTTCAAGTTGAATCAATGTGATGCAAAATGTCAAACCTTTCAAGTTTGTTCAATTAATGATGTTTCATTCTAAACAATTCTTAAACCATTCAATCCAAATTCATCAACAGATGGTTCTAATAGTGATGCACTTGAAAACAATTAACAACAATAGAATCCTTCAATATTGATAGTGATGAAAATATTGAAAAATCAATGCACTTGAAAAAGTATTTTAATTTGGACGAATTTCGTCCAAATCACTTTGAAATTAATTTTCATTAAAATTAAAATTTATCATCATTGTGCTAATAACGTTTTTTAAAAATGCGTTCATTTCATCATCAGCCTACTCGACTACTCAACAATAGTAGTGATGATCAACAACTCGAAAAACATCAGCAACAGCAACAACATAGTTGGGGACCACTGCTTCAACCTCCAATAACAAATAGTAACAATCGGAGATTATCAGGTAATATTCATTATCAACAACTGCAACAACAACAGCATCCACCACAATATAATCATCCTCACCAACATCAACAACAACAAATAACTTCATCACCTTTATATTCTAGTCATGATAATATACTTTCTAATTTTTCATCACAAAATTCAGCCTTTAAACTTGTACCTAAAGTTGATCATCATCAACAACAACAAGAAGATTTCCCAAATAATTCATCTTTTAGTAAAATAATATTAATACCACCCGATAAACAAAGACCTTTTAATTTATTACACATGACAACATTGGGATTAAAAAGTACATTTTCATCTATTAAATATAAAACTAATTTATCACAAGTTATTGATTTGAATAAATCATCTTCATCTTTAAAAGTATCATCATCAACAACATCAGTATCAGCATCATTATCAACTAGTAGTAGTATGAGTAGTAGTATGAGTAATAGTAGAAATAATGAAATAATATTGAATGGTATAAATAGTGATGAATTTCCATTAAATTATTTTACAGATAATGATAATGAAGGATCAATAATACTTCCACAACATAAACATGTTAGAAAGTGGCCACTTTTATTTAGAAGATTTAAATTTATTTCCTTATTAGGACAAGGTCGATTTTCCAAAGTTGTACTATGTGAAGATTTATTTCAATCCAATAGAAGGGTTGCAATTAAAATTATGAATCAAAAATCAAATGAAATTGGAATACAAGAGTCATTACATTATTTTTCTATAAAATTCTAAAATTCTAATAATATAAATGGAAATAATTCTAATAATAATTCTAATATATTACAATTATATTTAACTTTTTATTTTTGTGGACATTTTTGTCTAGTATTTGAAGAATTAGGAGAAACATTATTAAATTACATACAAAGATATCAACCATATACAATTAAAATGGAAATATTAAAGAAAATAACATTACAATTAATAATAGGATTATTAATATTAAAACAAAATAATATAATTCATACAGATTTAAAACCTGAAAATATTTTAATGAAAAAATTAAATTCATCAAAATTAAAAATTGCTGATTTTGGAAATGCAATTAATTATTTAGATAAATATCATTTAAATTTAAATATAGGAAGACAATTACAAACTTTATTTTATAGATCACCTGAAGTTATATTTGGAAATTCAATAATTGATTTTCAAATGGATATGTGGTCAATTGGATGTATAATTGTTGAATGTTTTATTGGTAATCCTTTATTTAATGCAAATAATTTAAATCAATTAATTAATCAAATGTTAAATTTACTTGGTCCTTTACCTTTAAATTTATTTAAAAATAATAATTTAAATAATAATTTAAATACAACTAATTTAAATAATAGTAGTAATAATATAAATAATATAAATAATATAAATAATAATATTTATGAAAATAGTAACAAATCAAGTTATTCATTTAGTAAGAAACATTTAAAATTAAGTAAATTAATGAGATTAAGATCAAATGATTATCAATTTGTATCATTTATTACTTCTATATTAGAATATGATCCTAAAAAAAGATTAACACCTGAAAAGGCATTATTTCATCCTTTTTTAAATTCTGTATTTCCATTTTCATTAAATATGATTTACAATATTAATAATAATTTACATAATAATAATAATTTAAATAATTCTATTGATTCTCAAGCTATTATTATTAACAATAATAGACAAGAAGAAGAAGAGCAACAACAATTAATTTATGATAATAGTTTAATAGCATCTCATAATAATAATAGTAATATTGGCAATGTTGGCAATGTTGGTAATAATCATGTGAATATTACAATGGCATCATTAGCTCCAAAACATTCATTATCATATCAACAACAACAACAACAACAATCAATAACGACGACGAATCAAACACAACTGCAGCAGCAGCAACAACAACAACCCTATCATACAATGTTCTCTTCTTCAACAAGTTCAAGTGATTTGAGTTCTCCAACTCATAACAAACAACAACAACAACAATATATTTCACCTCATCAACAAGGACACTATGTAAATATGCCATCACCATCATCCTATCAACCATCCTCTAAGAAAATTAAATTATCACATCGAGAATATTCTAAACCTCAAATATCTCAATCATCATCTCATCTAAATCACCAACATAATCAAATTATCAATCAAGTAACAACAACACCACCACCACAACCACAATTACCACAAATATATAACTCCTCCTCCTCATCTAATCAACAACAACCTAGTTCATCATCTAGTACACAATTATTTATTCCTCCTCCATCTCCATCTACTACTGTAATAACAACAGGTACAACACATGTTGTTTCTCAATCAACACCAATTATCATTCCACAACCACCTAAGAAAGTACTTCCTCTAGCTCCACCTAAAAGACATGCATGTGAAAAATGTGGAAGTCAATTTATTGAACTTTCTCATTCACCTAATAATTATACCATCAGATGTAAACATTGTAGACATATATTTATTAAGAATAAATAGTCTGTAATTTTTCTTAAAAAGTTTTAAATCTGGAACCAGGAAAAGCTTGATTCGTTTAATACGGCACACTTCTAACAGTATTTCAATACAATGACAATACCCTACAGACAGGCACTCCGGATTGACCCATGCATTTAATTAGCCAAACTTCAAGGCAGTGTTGTGGTAGTTGACTCAATTACGCCTGAAAACCTTTTCTCAAGAATTTCCACCAGTGTCGTTGTATTGTCTTTCATGGGTAAAATTTTCCATAATATAGTCTCAATATTTAACCTTAATTATTATTTTAAATAACAATTCTCCTTTAAATATAACTAATACCCACATTGTCAAAGAAATTTAATTCACATCAACGTCAAAATCAATGACAAGTAGAGTTTTGTTGTGATGCAAGTTTTAATTCTCTCAAACTAGAAATAGATGTATTATGAATCTCAAGACTTTTAATATTAGAATGATAAATCTCTTTCAAAGTAGAGGCACAAAATTTGTACTAATGTTATTTCGTATTCGAAACATGGATTTGAAACGTTCTCGAATAAGTAAACTCAATTTAAATCCTAACTAGAGGATCTGTATTCGGTAGTTGTTCGAATTTATCAATTTTTCTGGTATACAGTTGACCTGAACGAACAAAACAATACACTCTTACAAAAACTTCTGTATTGATAAGACCAGTGTCTTCTATATCCCACAACTTTCTAATTGCTGTTGCTTGCTTTTTTCTTATTCCTAATGATTGTAATGCTAGTTTGAATTCATTACTATTCAACAGACCATCAGTATCTTTATCAAACTTTACAAGTAAATCTTGTGCTTGTTCTTTCAGTTGGTTAATGTTATTAAATGCATCTCTTGAGGCAATGATTCCATCTGGAACCCACAATGGGAGCTTTTCATACATTTTTTTTAATGTGTAAAGTATTCATTAGTCAGTTGTTAAATATATTTTAGGAGAAAGGTCAAAATTACACATTTCCTTTTTGGTAAAGATTTAAGTATTTGAGATTGTTATCTATTTTTTTTTAGAAGGAAGGGTCAGTTCAACGAGTTATTTTGATAAATTGAATTTGAAGTATAAAAATATTGAGGAAGAAAAGGATTGAATGTAATTCTGTATTATTATTTCAAATTAAGTTAGATGATTGAAATTATTCATCATCATCATCCTCTTCCTCTTGTTCTTCAATTTCATCCTCTTCTACTTCCTCTGCTTCATCATCCATAAAATCTTCCTCATTAGGTAATGATTTAGTAATATCATAATTTGAAATATCATCTTCTTGATTGGATTTTCTTATAACAATAAAATCTTCAAGTGATTCATGTTGATTGAAAATATCATCATCTTCATCTAACATGGTTTCTTTTGGACTTTCAGCTGCCAAACTTTCCTCAAATACTTGTTCAATTGGATCATTATCATCCTCCATTAAGACAATTGGTTTTTTCTTCTTTTTGGATGATTCAGTTTTATCTTTCTTTTTCTTCTTTTTCTTTTCAGTTTCTTCCTCTTCTTCATTTTCATCTGATTTCTTTTTCTTCTTCTTTTTCTTTTTCTTTTCTTCACCATCATCATCATCTTGGTCATCTTGATCTGATTTTTTCTTTTTCTTCTTTTTCTTCTTCTTTGGTTCTTCCTCTTCTTCATTATCTTCATTTTCCTCTGATTTCTTCTTCTTTTTCTTTTTCTTTTCAGATTTTTTCTTTTTCTTTTTAGGTTCATCCTCTTCCTCATTATCATCATGTTGTACTTCCTCTTCATTTTCATCATTCTCATCATTCTCATCATCTCCAGGTGTTCTCTTTCTCTTTTTCTTATCTGATGATGATGAATCAATTAATTGTGAATAAAAATGTTGAGATGAAGCCTCCTTTCCAGTAACATCTCTATCAGTAATAACAGAAATGGTAATTGCATTTTCAACACCATTTTGTTTTAAAATGACTTTGGTTTTTAAATTACAAGATTCCAAATCCTTTTTAATTTTTGGAATAATTTTAGCTAAACTCTTATTTAAAGATAATTTTCTATCAATACAAATAGTTTGAACTTGTCTATTAGCTCTATTTAAATTTGTAAATATTTTTATAACAATTTCCTTATTAATTTTTAAATATTTTCCTAAAAATCTAATTAATTTTAAAAAATTATTTAATAATAATTTAGAACCCATTAAAGTTGCTTGTAATAATTGTGGTGTTGATTTTACACTTTTAGTAAGTGATGTTAAAAGTTTATAAAAATTTATAACTTGAAGAATTCGTTTTAAATTTTTTGTTACTTGATTTTCTTTCCATTCCAATAATTCTTGATTTGATATTTTATTTGATAATTCAATAAATATCTTTTTTATACATATTGGTATGGTTATTTTAGTTATATTTGGAAAATTAAAATCTAAATGTTGTTTAGGTTCATTGCTTTCATTATTTTCATCATTTAATTTCTCTTTTAAACATTCAATTAATTCACTTGTTCCTGTAATCCAACTTCCAAATGAAATTAAACCAGAAATTAAATTACCAAGTGATTCACTTTTAATAATACTTGGAAATGGTGTTTGTAATAAATGTTTAGATATTCCTTGTAAATCAATTTTTAATTTTGTTATATCACTTTTAATTACAATAGATTTTAATAATTCAAATAATTTATAACAAATATCAAATGTATTTAATTCTAATATTAATTCTTTAATAGAATTATAAAATATTTCAATTAATTCTTCTGAATCTTTATCTGCTAAATCATTATCATCCATATTATTATTATTATTATTATTATTATTAACATTTGATAATAATAATAAATTAATAATTCTATTAAATTCATCTTTAAAATGATCAAATATTTTCAATATAATATCAATTAATAATTGAAAACAAGGTGTAATATATTCATTATTTAATTCATTATCATCAGATTCATCCTCAATTGATTGTTTAATTGAATCTTTTGATATAATTTTAATATATTTATATAAATATGGTAATATATTAAATAACATTTCATAAAAATCATTGGTATTAATTCTATTTAAATTATAATGATTTTCCTTTTCTTTACTTGTAAAGAATGTTGTTTTACTTCTAGCAATAACTGATTTTAATTTACTTTGTAAATCTTCAATAATATAAAATAATTGTACAGGTTGTAATGAAGAATTATTATTATCAGTATTATTATCATCGTTATTATCATCGTTATTACTTGTTGTTGCATTATTATTATATTTAATAATATTAATAACAGATAAATCTAATTCTCTGTAATGAATTTTTAAATTTGATAAATATTTTCTCTTAGATGGTAAACTAATATATTCACTTGATGATTTTGAACTAGTAGTAGTAGTTTCATTTTCTTGTTCATCTTCATCTTGTTCTTCATCATTATCATCTTGATCATCTTCATCTGATTTCTTCTTCTTTTTCTTTTTACTATCTGTATTAGTTGTTGTTGCCATTGTTGTTGTTGTTGTAGTGGTAGTATTTGCAATTATAGTAGTATTAGTACCTATAGTAGGTAAATGAAATGTTAAATTCATTGATAAACATTTATCAAGTGTTTTTTCTAATAAATTTATATTTTCAATTCTTTCCAATATATATTTAATATTATTATTATTATTCATAACATTATTTTGTTCATTATTTTCATTTTCATATTTTCATCATTTTCATCTTGTGCTCCAACATTAAAAGTAAAACCATTTAAAATTTCTCTAAACCAATTAATAGTAAAAAATAAACCTGTACAAATTAAATCCTTTTCCTTTCTATTGTAATGTTTAAAATTTAATAAAATATCATCCAAATCAAATAATACAACTCCTGATTGTAATAAAAAATTAGAATAATCACTTTTTAATTTATCCATTACAATTTTCATTAATCTAAATTGTGAAAATAAATTCCAAATACTTTCATCTTCCTTCTCTAATAGAGGTAATATATTTACCAGTTGTTGTGAATTTTCAATTGAAAATTGAATTTTATAATCAAAATAATTTGATTTTAGTTTTTTTAAATCAGATTTTTCAATAATAAATCTTTGAAAAAAATCATGAATTAATCTTGTTTGAATTTCTTGTAATAATCTTTCATCTAAATTTCTTTCTTTTATAATAAAACATAATTCATCATATAATAATGTTTTAAATATTGGAATTTTATAACAACATTTTAATGAAAAATCTAATAATTCAATACATTGTTCATATTCTTCATTATTTAAATTTTGTTGATTATAATTATTTAATAAATTATTTGTCTTGTTATTATTACTATTATTACTAATATTACTTGTATTTAAATTATTTAAATTATTAAATTGATTAAAATTACTACCAATAATAGATAAAATAGTACATGAACCAATAATACCCATTTTTTTAAAATTAAAATTAGTATTACTTAATTGTTTTCTAATAATGATCATTAATTCATCTCTTGTTCTTGTATTATTATTATTTGAATGATTCAATGTTTTTGTAAATGATAGAATTGAAAATAATTTATAAACTTTTCTCAATTGTTGATCTGTTAAATTTGTTAAAGAATCAATTAAAACTTGAAAAAAACTTGAATAATTTCTTAAAATTGATAATTTTGTATATGAAATTGATAATAAAACATCGAGTGATGAATCTTTTTCAATTTTAGAATTACTTCCAACATGTGTTATTAGTGATTGAATTATTTTTTGTCTATTATAATCATTTTTAACATTTTCAATTATTTTACGATGTCTAATACCAGTTGATATGGCACTCACTAGAAGTGATTCACATTGTAGTGATGATGATGATGAGGATGATGAATTATTACTATCTATAAATTGTTTACCTTTCCTTTTTTGTTGTTGTGTTGAATAGAATTCTTCATCTTGTTCATCAATCATTGTTGTTGTTTTACCTTTACCTTTAAAAGTACTATTATTACCACTTAATATTAATGAAGTATTGTTATCATTCTCATTATCATCATCATTGTCATGTAAATCATTTTCATCATTTTCATTATTTCCACCAAGTGATGAAATATCCAAATCCTTTCTAATACCCTGTACAACAGATTTAATATTATCATCATTTGTTGATTGTAATAAAAATCTGATAATGACAGGTAAATCAGATAGAGAAGCAGAATTTAAATTTCTTAAAACTCTATCAATAGTTTCATTTAAAATTTCCTTTTTTAAATTTAAATTTGATAAGGCATCAATGACACATGTTGTCATTTCAGATTTATCTTGCATTACTTGATCTAATTTTTCAACAATATTATCATGTTCTGAATCATCAATAATTTCAGGTATTGCTGATATTAATTCTTTTGTAAATTCAATAGATGATATTTGTAATAGTGTATTTAAATGTTCTGTTAACTTTTTAGAATCTACAATCAAATCTAACCAACGCATTTGTGATATTATTAATTTTGGTATATTTTTATCCCATTGTTCATATAATTCCTCTTCATAATCTTGACATTTATTTAATAATTCTTCAAATAATATTTCAATTATATTCATTTGTATTGTTGATATATTTAATAGTAATTTAAAAAATGATTCATTAGATGAAAAATATGTTCCACTTCCTTCATTTGTACTATATTTTTAAATAATTAATTAATTATTATTATTATTAATAATGTTAATTTAAATTTAAATAGTAGTATTAAATGACAATTGACAAGATGATCAAATTATTATTATTATTTTTACAATAAAACAATAACATGATAATAACAAACCTTTCTAATGGAACAAGACAAAGACAGAAAAAGTATTCATCTTCGATCATTGATTTTAAAGCAAAACAAAAGTTTTCAATATCTGTTTTTGTTCTTCTTGCAACTTCCTTTTCAATATGTCTTCTTAATAACATGGCATCTTTAACTTGAAATGAAGAAATTGAACTAAAACTTGATTTCTTTTTTGATCCGATAGTAATTTTACCAAATTGTATTTCATTAAATGGTGGAAGATTTAATCCACCATCACATAACAATCCATAAAACTTTTTAATATGTTGAGAAATTGATGCATTATTACCACTTCCTGATGCAGAAGAAGATGAACCACTACTACCACTGCTTGTGGATGAGGCTTTTTGTGGAGGCATTTTTTTAGGCTTTGGATTTCCAGTTTTCACTGGAGCAGAAAAAAAAGGCTTGATGATTGGATGGAGGTATTTTCTTGAGTTTACTCGAAAACGACATTTATAGAAGAATAGAAGGAAAAGGTAAAATCCAATAAACAAGTTTGTCACATAGTTATAAAATTATCAAAGTTGTTAGGTCTACTTCATCACCAATTCTCTCCTTTCTGCAATATTGAAAAACTATTTTGAAAATAAATTTATAAAAATAAATTCTTCAAAAAAATGTCTGACGATCCAAATCAACCACCAAAGAAGGCTGTTGTGTATGACGCCTCTCGTCTACTCTCACATAAACCACCATCCTCCACATCCTCCTCATCATCAACAACACCAAATACATCATCAACATCATCAACAACAACAATATCGGGAAATATTGGATCATCTTCTACAACAACAACAACAACAGGAGGTGGAAGGCTTCCATCAATTTTGGCCCCTAGGAATATTGAAAAACCAACACAACATTTTAAATCGAGTAGTGGTATGACATTTACACCAAATTTGAAACCAAAGCAAATTAAAACAGAAGATTCAACCAAAACAGATGGTATTGATTTGGATGTTTTTATGGGACAAGCATCTAATCAAACAGGTAAACGAAAACCACCTTATAATAATACAAAGCCTAATACTAAAGCCATCATGAATAAGAATACATTTAATTTAGTAACTGGTATTGTACCAATGCCATCATCATCTTTTATGGAATTAGGAGGATTAGATTCTACACAATCATCATCATCCAGTGGTGCTAATTTGAAAGCTAGTGGTTTTGGTGGTGATGAAGATGATGACGACGATGATGAAATGATGAAAGATTTATTGAAGGAAAGAAAGAATTTATTTTCAGGTGTTAAACAAGCACCAATTGTTTTACCTTTTAATGAAGAAGCATATTTAAGAGCAGAAGCACAAAGACAAGCAACAACTGATAGACAAGCAACAGAAGATTCAATTGATGAAGTACAACAAAATTTATTCAAGAATAATATTGATTCTCTCATGTCGGAAGATAAATTATTCTTTATTCAATTACCTTCAAAGATTCCATATATGGATGCAGCTGAAAGAAAGAGACAACAAGCTCAAGAAAAGAAAGTTGTTTCAACAAGTGTAGATGATGCAGAAAATATTTGGACTCAACCTTTCGAAAATACATTGGATAAAGTTCCAAATGGTCTCATTGGAGAAATGGTTGTTTATAAGAGTGGTAAAGTTAAATTGAAATTAGGAGATGTTTTATTAGATGTTTTTCCAGGTAGTGAATTTAGTTTTCCTGAACATGTTGCCTGTGTTGATGCCACTGATAAAGAGAAGGGACAATGTCACATTTTAGGTAATATTGCAAAGAGATTTTCATGTGTGCCCGATGTAGATTATTTATTAAGAAAGGAAGGATCTAACAATTAATAAATTTATTAATCTTTTTAAAAATTTCATATATATTTATGATTGTGTCATTTATCTAGTTATTCATAATATTCATGCCTGATTCAGATTATATAAATTTACAAAAATTAAGTTTAATACATATATATATTAAGGTAATAATTTCTTAATCATTTCTTTCTGATAATTGTCTAAAAATCTTGGAAAGACAATATTTGGTTTAATAATTAAATCACCTCTTTGTTCTGGATTTTTTGAAAGTGGCATTCCTTCACCTGTAACACTAATTGAATAATTTGGATGTACAATATCATTGAGTGGTATCCTCAATATTCTATCATCTAATGTTTTCACTTCAATCACACTTCCTGATAGTGCTTCCTTGAGTGAAATATTTGGAGTGTAGATTAAATTATTTGAATCTCTTTGGAATATATGATGTGGTTGTTCTTCAATTTCAAAGACAACATCTGCTGGAATGACACCTTGAGCTTGATCTCCTTCATTTTCAAATCTAATCTTGGTTCCCTTTTTAAATCCTCTCTTAATAGGAAATGTTAAAATCTTTGATTCTTTCCTTGTTGAAAAACCATCTGAATTTAATACTTGTTTTGTAATTTTAATTCTCTTTGTTTTTCCCTTGTATAAATCCTCTAATGAACAATGAACTATTTGAAGAATATCTGGTGCTTTTCTAGGTCCTCTCTGTTGTGTACTTTGAAAGAATGATCCATTGCTCAGCCATTTGTTTATTATCAGGATTTCTATCGGGATGCCATTTGAGAGCAAGTTTACGATAGGCTGATTTTAATTCCTTTTCATTGGCACTTCTTGTTACTCCTAGGATTGAATAATAATCTTTTCCCATTTCTTTACTCAAGTACGTAGATTAGAATTCTAATGTTATCGTTAATATTGATATTGTTGATGATGATATTCCAATCTTAATTCGCCAATCTCCTAAAGTTTTCTCTCAAGGGCAGTTTTGTGAAATGATCGTATTGATTCACACAGCTATTTTTTTAAAGTCTTTTGTTTTTTGGCGCAATATAAAATTTACAGTTGTGGTTATTTAAGTAATTATTGAAGATAATTGTAATATTCTATTACTCAAGTTATGATAATGAATAATATATTTATTATTTATTATTAATTTATTAATTACATTCAATTTTCATATCAATAATTTTAAATGATTTTTGACCTTCAAATGGACAAAAAGTACAAATTAATTCTTTACATTTAACACCTTCATCTTTTGTAAATAAATTTAAATATTGTATTGATTCTGAATCTTCTAAAATACCTTCACCTATTTTCATTCTATTAGATTTATTATTAAAATTATTAGAAGATTGATTATTTAATAATATAATAGATGTATTATTAGGTATAATTGGTATAAAACATGAATAATATTGTGGTCCTCTTCTATTACCAGGTGTTTTAATTCTAATTCTTTTAATATTTACTTTTTTATCAAATGTAAATATAACATTACTACCTTCAGCTTTACATTGAACTTTAAAATCTGAAACACTTGAAGTTTTTAGAAATTTTTCAGTATGTGAATTATTAGTATTATGTGAATTATTGGAATTAGTATTATGTGAATTATGAGTAGTATTATTTGATTGAGTATTAGATTGTTGATTCATCATGATTGGTTGAATATTTTCAATTTCTTTATCTGTTATTGTTGGTACATTTCTTAGTGGTGATGAATTTGTTACTACTACTTGTTGTGATTTTATATTATTATTATTATTTGATTGAATAGGTAAATTATTATTTTGATTATTATTGTTTAATGAAATAATTTCAATATTATTATTATTATTAACTTGTTGTTGTTGTCTATTAGGTGATATATGTTTTAAATAATGATTATTTTGATTATTATTTAAAATATTATTTTTTTTAATTCTTTTTATAGCAGTATTTGTCATTTTAATTTGTGATAGAGGTGAATGTTCTTGATTAATTAAAGGTTTTGTTTTAATTTCATAACAATTTGATGGAAATTGTAATTTTGGAAATGCAATTAATTTAATACATTTAATATTTTTAGGTAATAAAACACTTCTACTATAAGTAAATGTTGAATTATTATTATTATCCAAAGTAGGAATACTTCCATCTATAGTATATCTATAAATAATATCTGATTGTAAATGTTCAATTTTAAATGTATTATCATTTGAATCATATTTTATAAATTGTTGAATATTTATAAATGAAGGAATTGTAAATGAACTTGTTTTACTTTTTAATTTTCCATTTTCAACTGAAAATATATTTAGTAATTGATAATTTTCTTTAATTGGAATTTGATTATTTTTATAAATTATAAAATCATCATTATCAAAATTAATATAATATAATGTATCTTTTTTAAAATTTGAAATTATAAATAATTTACTAAATATATCAAAATAACCTTCAACAATTTCACTTTCATTTGGATAATTAAATGTTAAATAATTTATAAATTTACATCTTTCAATTCCAATAAAATGAATTATATTTAAATTTAAATTAATATATTTTTCATATTTATAAATTTTATATTTTTTTATATTTTCTATAAATGGAATATTTAAATCAAATGAATAAAAATAATCAATTCCTTCAATTTCATCATTAATAAATACATTTTTATCTAATTGATGAAATGATACATCTGGTTGTGGTATTGTTAATATATTTTTAAAATAATCATCCATTTGAATTTCCATTTTAGGTAATTTATTTAAATGATTTAAAACATCATTAAAATGATCATTAAATCTATTACTATTAATAGAATCAATTTCAATATATTTAGTACATTGATAATATTGTGCTATTGATATAATTTCATCAAAATCAATTGAATTTGAATTTCTATTTTCACTATTATATCCAATTAATAATATATTTGGTAAATATCTATTTTTAGATGTATATTTTGTAATTTCAGGTAAAATTTCATTTAAAATATAATTAAATGATTCTCTATTTGTAATATTA